ACTATTGGGGTAACGCTGTTTCGACATTGTCATTTGCAGAAGCCATTGGTCAATTAACTCCCCTATCCAGCTAAAATGGGTGGAATTTGTGTTAAAAAAAGACAAAACAGTATCATAAATTTAATTTTAAGTTCAAACAACTTACTTGCAAAGGGCTGTTGACCCAACACTGTTAGATCATGAAACAAGGTTTATGACGTCATTATGGAGCGTGACGTCACCTGCTATGACGTCATTTGACAACAGAACTGATAATGGCCCGTAGTTGAGGAATCAGCGGGCCGCTCATTTCTGTAACTAGAGGGCGGTTTCATCATAATACCGTCTATTTTATCTATAATACTATGATCTATTCATCATTGTCAAATTTAGTCTGTGTGCACATAATAAACGTGTAGTTTGAAAAGGAACTACTTTCTCTGGCGATGGTGTAAGTTGAAGGAGTGATATGATTAACCTTTGACCTAGAGGAACTTTGACCTGGTTTAAATAATGAATTTCTTTCACGAAAAAACAGCGTAAAACGAGTTGAATTAGAATGGGGATAACTGTACTGTGTTTGACGAATTGGCTATATAACCACCGGTATACGTCCCCAATTCGTCAAACACAGTACAGTTATCCCCTAAATAACATTCAAATGACGTCAACAATGCTGCCAGATGACGTTAACACAGGTGGCAAAGAAGTGATATTTGCTCTCTGCACACACGATTTTCACGAAGTCTAATATTTCTAACCCTATGGGTAAGACATCAGTAAACGAGTCGACCTCAGATATCGTCTGTACTACATGTAACTGGACGAGTGAAGTAGTTTATTTATCACTCACTTAAACTTTGCACATTATCTTGATTTACGTGGGAAAGACGTTGTTGGTATAAGAATGGGATATGAATTAACATTCGCAGCTTTAGATTCAACCACGGACTGTTCTCTCAAGGGACAACTAACATGGCAATAAACTATGAGAGGACGATGTTAACTTGTGTTCATAACTGCAGAACATCACCCACTCGAAAACACCTCCGGAAACTGTAGCTTCAAACTCGGTTCTAAAGCTATTGAGCCCTAACGGTGCCCGTGAGAGGATCGACTCATCAATTTATGTCATGAACTCGGTGTGATTCGATACGATTCAGCAGATGGCTTCACCCTACTGAAACGGGTGTAACTATCATAGAGCTACACTGTTCGGAGAAGTGGAGGGTCGCGACATACCAGTGCATCCATTGACACAGGGACAACATACCTAACTACTAGCCGTTTGTCTCAAGGGGCGCTGCTCGTATTTACTTCACGAAGTTCAAGATCCGTAAGTTTGCTGTTTAATTAAAATGTTAGTTTCAATCGGGAGTAGATTATCCGTCTAGTTTACAGGTGCACAATGCCAGGTTCGAAACACAGCTGATATTAATAATGCACGCACGCGATTTTATCAAAAGCTGTTTAATAAAGATTATTGTTATTAACGGGTTAGAAATTGATAAACATACGGATTGAATCTGCTTGGTCAGTCATAATCTGAGTCAGGATAAAGATGTCGACTGGAAATCGATGCATTGATCATTGTCATTGATTATATACCAAGAGTGCCCAGTAATTCTGTTATTATTTGCTTCAGGATTATGGGAGATATATTTTGGTAGCTGCATTGTCCGAGGCTTAAAGTAAAACATTGTCGTTTTCTTATATTCGGTTGTATTGCATTTTACACAGCTTTTAGAAGCCTATACTACAAATTGTCGTGACACTTTCCGTATTTTATCCGTGTTTATCCTTTCAAAGGTCATTGTGCTGAGATGTGTCATACATTGATTGCGTCACGATGGGTTCAGTGTTAACGCCAGCTTGGGCTCTCAGTGTTACATAATAGTCCAATGACGTTGTGGCTACATTACTCATGACTTGGGTATGGAATGAATAACTTCATTTTTGTGCGCAGATTATACATATGTTACATGGCGAATACAAGTTTTAAACCCTTCATGTGTTCATATACACACTAACACCCATCATCGCGCACGTGTGTGTTTCCTTCTGCTTGTCTTGTGTATGTAGAGATCATTGGCGGGTGGACGGAGTTCCAACACCTCGTATACCAGCGCCGCTGTTATATTTAACGGCCGCTTCTCTAGCTTACAAGCATGTCCCATGAAGCCTTGTCCGCATACCGTGATCTACTGGGCACATTCTGCTTCTGAAGCCCTCACCCTTGTCACGTCATCAGTTGTCCTATACCATCTACACACTGACACAGTAATGACTTGCCTTCACACTGCTGCTATAGGCTAATTCGCACATCCTGCCAAGTTCAGAATTGCCTCTTGTTTGATGTCTTTCAGTGGCATTTAGAAGTTGTACATTGATGTCCAAGATATTTTTATGGATTAAACTTCTTTATAATTTCCCTCACGACGTTTGTCTCTTGTTTGTTAACAAATTGCTGTTTTGCATAGTTATATATGTTACTACAACTACCACAGTTTGTCTTACACATCAAAGTGACCTAATTAGGGATGTATATACATTCCACGTTCGCACCACTTCCGTGATAGCCAAAGTGAAAAATGTGAAGGCGATTCACGTCGCATAATTATGGAAGCTAATTCCAAATAACCAACTGCAAACATTTCACATCTGCCCATACATTGGTGCAGGGGCGGATCCAGGAGTTTGGAGAAGGGGAGTACACATAAATCATGAAGTACAAGGTTTAGGGGGAAATGATCCTCGTGGACCCCTGTGGGGGGTATGCATGTCTGGGGTTGTTTCAAAAGAGGATCCAGAAGATGCTGAGTCGCAGAAATATCTCGCGGAAACGTGCGACCACTGCGACTGATACATGTATTATCGCTATCTCTGCTGTTGACTTCTAAACCTGTAACTTACATTTGATACAGTTAATGCATTTAATGCAACAATGCGCTTCTTATGAACTGTATGGAGTATTCATTTATGGGAGGTTTGAAATAAAAAAATTAGAGCTATTATAATTTCGTTATATACCTCTGATTTTCCAACACAGTATATGTTTATCTCCATTCTACCATAATCACGTTATTATCACGTTTATAACGTGATTATATACCTCTGAATGACTCTAATCAACCAATCACAATCCAGTACTGACTGAAGTCATGGTAGAATGTATATTTCGAACATGGAATACTCGATAAAACCCCACAAATGTGAAAAAATCAGGGAATCTGACAGTGACTTTTGAGATCAGATATATCAAGTAAAGACGATAAAGATTTAAAATTAAAAACTTTTACCGATTAGTGTTTTTAGTGTTAAAAGGATAACAGATCTACGGTGCAGCTCTCGATATTACAGCATGTCGTGCAAGTATAGACTCTTCATAACGCCTTACGCCTTTCTATTTCTCATATACATGTAACTGGAATTATAAGACACAAGAAAGTATATTTTTAGTGTAATAGAAAATTGGAAAATTGTTGCTAAATTTAATTGTGTCTATTTAACCATCACTCACTCCTGCAACCGTTTGTAGAAAGTAATCTGTGGCTGGGTTATTCTATGTAGGCCTAATAATATTTTGGTTCTGTGAAGCCTTGGGTTAAGAAAAGAATGCCATGTGCCATGTTTGAAATGAAGGAAAATAGCAAGTGTATTGAATTTCAAAGTTACCAATTAGAAAATATCCTGCATTTGTGTATTTATGAGATTTTAAATAATCAAACTATATATAAATATATTTACAAAAAAATATGTACAAGCATTCTTTGAATGCTGTGTAAGCGGCCGTACAGTTAATTATGTTGATATATTATCACTTTTCAAATGAAAATCAACTCACTTACTTTCTTTGGTTCTCAATATATATATCACATTGCCCTCCATTGTCAGGCAGACCGCCTCCCCGGTGTAGTGGTTAGAGCGTCCGCCCGGAGAGCGGAAGGTCGCGGGTTCGATACCCGACCGCGTCATACCATAAGACGTTAAAATATGGTACTTGTTGGTCCCTGCCTGACGCTCGGCATTAATGGGTACAACAAGGACTGGTCGGCTCGGAGTCAGTATAATGTGTCCGAGTGGGGTATTCATGCTTCACTGCGGCATGGTATCTCAGTGGGCTAGCACTATAAAACCAGCTTAAGTCTGGGCTAGTACAAACAGCCGCACATACACATACACACGCATGCACGTCGTCATATGAGCGAAATATTCACAAGTACGACGTAAAACCCACTTTCACCTCACCTCACCATTGTCAGGCATTCAGAATATTTAAAAGCAGACATGCAGACACTGCGGATTCCACGAGCTTTTCATTCCGAACACGCACATACAATTAACATATGAAGCTTATACATGTAATTTCATCACTCTCCATCGTTATCCCATCCAACACATGCAGTAACATAGCTCTGTATGTATGTATGTATGTATGTACCGGTATGTATGTATGTATGTATGTATGTATGCATGTGTATGTGAGTCTGTCTGTCTCTCTCTCTGTCCTTCTAAATATTTCAAAATTGTGGGACTGATTTGAGCAAAATATCCGTGACTTTGAGGATCATATTCAACAAATGACAACCCCATTCAAAAATAGCATACAACTTACGTCCACCCAAAGTGCGTGCGCATAGATACTGGAGGATCGTTTTTATTTTGTTTACGAGTCTTAATTAAGGAGTCACGAGTGCTTGTGTCTATGTGAGCATGAGCCTTCAAAATTACCTCCTCAAATAAAATGTGTACACATAGTCTCTCTTTTCCCCAAACTGGGTAACAACTTGGGAGGGAGATATCTGCCTGTAACATCTCTCCTGGGTTTAGCAAGACTCCGACACACCTTCAGTCGTTTAAAGCTTATAATCTGATGATATCCAACGTCACATGAAATATGGTTGTATTGTTAGTGTACTGACACGACACCCGTATCGACTCATGGCTTGCAGCCAAACAACTAGTGGATACAGCCCGTCTTCTTGTCTGTGCCACGTCCGTTTTACTTTCAGCCAATCAAATCATTCCACCTTGTCGCTGCTCCCTGCATTTGAGGAAGTCGCGTGGCGACCCGACCGGCAACTACAACCATAGCATTCGAGTCGTTTACCCGCCGACTCAGGGCGTTGAAAAGAGTGGCAATCCAGAGAAAATACCTCATAATGTTAGTGGCTACGATTATATTAGTCGTGGCTTTGCCATTTTATGTATTTGCGGACGATACACCCAAAGGACCGAAAGTGACTGATAAGGTTTGTTGATGAAAGAAGTAATTTTTCTCATTCGCCTATTTAAGTGAGAACCTCGTTAAAATCTGTGTCTTTTACACGATCATCAAAGAATATGCAATGGAATTTGATGAATGTTCAAATAAATATAACAACAGAATCATTTTGTAAACGTGCAAGGCAGGATCGATATGTAGGGTAAATAGTGCTCAGAGTTGTCTCCCTTAGACTAGTATCCTAATTGGATTTCACTTTCAGTGGCTGAGTATGCCTTTTGTATATTACTTTGCTTTTTAATGTATTATTTCTGAAAAGACTGAAAGATTTCCGCCTGTAATTCCCGTTTTTGTGTTTTTTCATCATTCTATGCCTAATAATAAATGGTTTTTATAGAAAGCCTACCCCTTAACCCCACAAAATAATCATAATAAATAGAAGACATTTCAATGGTGCTATAGCCCAGTGGTTAAAGCGTTCGCTCGTCACGACGAAGATCCGTGTTCAATTCCCCACGTGCGTACAACGTGTGACGCCCATTTCTGGTGTTCCCCGACGTGATATTGCTGGAATATTGCTAAAAGTGGTGTAAAACTAAACTTCACTCACTCACTCACTCACTCACTCACTCACTCACTCACTCACTCACTCACTCACTCACTCACTCACTCACTCACTCACTCACTCACTCACTCACTCACTCACTCACTCACTCACTCACTCACTCACTCACTCACTCACTCACTCAAAAAACAACCAGCAAACAAATGTAAGAAGGGTTGTTTATTTTTACATACATCAGAACATAATTTATTAATGTTCTCTTCAGGTCTACTTTGACATTACCATTGGCGGGGAGAAAGCTGGAAGAATTGTTATTGGTCTCTTTGGAAAAACGGTCCCCAAAACCGTCAAGAATTTTAAGTCACTGGCTGAAGGTTTTGAGGTAAGAGCTGTCAAGTTTTGTGAACGGTTTATTATGCTTCTGTAAAAGTGCCAGAGCTGGGATACCAGAATTTGGACGCTTGGAATATCCTGCTTGCAGTAAGGCTGAGATGAGCAAAATGGGGAATGGAAGCCCAAGTTTTGACTTGGCTGATAGATATATTTACAGGCTGTAATGAAACAGCTTTGTGAAGTTTGGTGTTTCAACATTTTCATTCTCAAACTGCTATGAAATGTGAAAATAATTACCAAAGGTTTGTGCAAATTTGCAAGTACAAATGGCATGATACCATAATATAGAAATAGGCTTAATAATGCTTTTACCACCTTGCGGTGGTTTCCATTAATTGTATTTCATTTTATTTTTCATAACTATATACAGAATTTTTTGCAAAGTTTAGACATGGTATGAAACCCATTGTCATAGCCTATGTCTCACTACTCAGGAGGGTATCGCAGAACCCATGATCTCTCCTGGGAGACCATTCGATCTCCTCCTAGTTCTTCACATGCAGAGTTCGTTAATCTTGTGATTCTCTCATGCATCTTTCATCCACTGACACAAGTCATTTTCAGGTTACAACAAACTTGGCCTTGGTGGTGCATCCATGCTTTTCACACCTTGCTACTGTGTCAGTATGACAGCCATGTTAAGACGTCCATAAGTTATGTCATCAATATCCCTTCTCTCCATCTGCTTCTTTTGGCCTTACTCTGTGGGATCGCAAAAGGACACTCAACACCAAAGTTTAAATGCTGTAGCTTTATGTATGCACATGGTTGCTGGGGTTCAGTAGGACGAAGCAGGTGGCAGTGGAGCAAGGGAGGTTACTCTCGATTAATACTGGGTGTCACTAAAAGACAAACTATATTACATCAAAATATAAGGCGCACATGTGAAAAAATGTCTTTTATATTGGTTGTCCTGGATACCAGATAGGATTTTTCTGTTGCTGTTCTTTTGCTCCAGTGCTGTATTGTAACCGTGTCAATTTCAGGATGGAGGAAAGACTCTAACCTACAAGGGCAGCAAGTTCCACCGGGTTATCAAGGACTTCATGATCCAGGGAGGAGACTTCACTCGTGGAGATGGAACCGGAGGTACTTGTTGACACTGTGTGCATTCTCATTTAGAAAGACTGTTGATTGAATAGCAGAGGTCACAAGATCCAGGGTATTCATCATTTCAGAATGGAGACATGACTCTTGGTAATTGAGGATTAGCTGTTTATTTGGTCATGCACGGGAATGTGCTCATACATGTGCTAAAGACGTTCACCAATGTTGCTTGTTTGGGTCCTTTCCCCAAACTGACATGTCATGCTTTGACGTGACTGAAATATTATTCAAAACATTTTTAAAAACCCAAATACCTGGAATAGTATGTAGTTATTGTGAATATTCCATCATACATTCTCAAAGTCAGATATTTTAGAGTTGGATTTTATGAAATAGCAAGGTCTTTTTTTCCTTTTTGAGAAGTCATCCTTGCAAAATTGGAATGAAATATTCTGATTTGGAAATTATTCCAACGCAGTTACTACTTAATTGTTATGGACATTTTCAATAGATTTGTGTATCTGCTTCTGAGAATAGCCAGATAATTCCCTGCATTGAGACTATAATGTCCTTTCATCCAGGCAAGAGCATCTATGGAGATCGCTTCCCTGATGAGAATTTCAAGCTGAAGCACTATGGAGCAGGCTGGTTGTCGATGGCTAATGCTGGCAAGGACACAAATGGTTCACAGTTCTTCCTCACAGTAAAGAAGACTGACTGGCTGGATGGACGACACGTTGTTTTCGGGAAAGTTGTTGAAGGAATGGTGAGTGTCCTGACTGGTCTTGCTAATGTGTGTGATTGCAGGTGTTTGTTGCATTGTGTTATTGGAGGTGTATGTTATTGTGTTTTCAGGTGTGTGATCGCAGGTGTTTGTTGCATTGTGTTATTGGGAGGTGTGATCGCAGGTGTTTGTTGCATTGTGTTATTGGAGGTGTATGTTATTGTGTATTGCAGGTGTGTGATTGCAGGTGTTTGTTGCATTGTGTTATTGGAGGTGTATGTTATTGTGTATTCCAGGTGTATGCTGCTGTGTATGATTGCAGGTGTAAGTAAGCATTTTTATGGGTATGAGTGTTGACAGGTTTGAGGGACCTTCCATTTCCGTTTCTGATTTCCCATATAGATTCATTGTATCACAAAAATGTGGTGTTATTGTCAGCAACACATTCTCAAACAAGGTAGGTAGTGCTGTTGAGGAACCATGTTTCTTCTAATAACTGCCTGGCACTTACTGGAGACCCGGCACTTATTGCGCTTACTGGGTGTACTGTAATTAATCGTTAATGAGCGTTACGTCAAATTTAGGGACCATTCTTTAATAAATGTATGTTTGGATCAAGAACGAAGACATTTATACAAAACATACCTAGCGCTTATTAGAGGCCCGACGCTTATCTTATAAACCGCTGCTTCACCCCTGGCGCTCATTAGGATGGGAAATCAACTTGGTGTGCCTAGTGGCTGCACGAGTTGTATACACCCCAGGGAGTTGAGATTGAAAAATATGATGTGCCGTCAAGATTGACAACCAGTGATCGAGGGTAAACAAAGCTTTGAGCATGCATGTAGATGGAATGGACTATATCGCTATATAAATACCCATATATAATAATAGAGACCTGGCCTGGTGCTTATCAGAGGAAATATGGTACATTACAATGGAATGTATAGCCGAACCTGTGAACACTGGACATTGTTGTACATAGTACTACAGTGTCATCCATACAATGTTGTCCTTCCTTATTGCCAAACCTGTCAACACTGGAGAGTGTGATACCTTGTACTACAGTGTACTGGCAAACCTTCCAACACTGGTCAAGTGCTTTCTATTGTACAACAGTGTGTTGCCAAACCTGTCATGACTTGACACTAGAAATTTGACTGTTCATTATGTCCAATATCACAAATTGATCAAGAGCCAGTTTGAACTTTTAAGTGTAATTGTAGTCAAACTGAAGTCTTTGAGGATCAGCAAACAATTATTCTGTACATTTTCATGATTATGGAAGGTAAGGCACTTTATGGATGACAAAGTCTTTATTGTATTATCATGTGTCATTTCAGTATACATTCTCATGCCATTGTCAAGGAAGAGTGAAGTACTACGTCATGATGATTTTATGTGTGCTTTCCCAACCTTAAACATATTTCGTACACAGGCCCGCCAGGCCATTTAGTGTTAGATCAAAAGACGGTGATTATGACTGAAAGATATGGAAACCTTGAGAGGCCAATTTTGATTAGAAATATACCTAAGGCTTTGAAGGTTAAGTTGTTATTTAGTGAGCTAAGGAGTGTTTGTAGTGGTAGTTAAGTAAGTGTCCAGTGAACTCTGAAGAACCATTCTATATACCCCCTTGTATTACAAACCAGTAATAGCGCATTAAAACTATGATCTTTTGTTAAACGATTTAAATGTTCAATTGGCAAGGTAAAATTATGAGGATTTGCAATCTTAATTTCATTTTATTTGATTTACTTTTTTGTTTAAAGTGAAATTCATCGGTACATTTTCACTGCAAACAGACTATAGAGATATTCCCCTTTCCTCATGTTTCTCTCCTTACTGTTAGTGCTGAGAGCATGGCCAAGTGTTGTGGAGTCAAGCACATTACAGATGAGCTATATTATTATATTATCATGCTTGACTACGGTATAAGAATCTGTATCTATTAAGTAGTTGTCATCCATAAAGTGTCTTACCTGTTTTGGTTACTTGACCACTTCTAAAATGCCAAACAGAGCATTTTCGTGATTATCAATGACATTGCAAAATGAACTACAGGATTTATCTGTGTTGAAAGTTTGAATTTCCTTGGTATTTCTGCACCAGTCAACATTGTCAAGCATGGATATATTTCTTCCACAGAGGAAATGTTTAACATGAGTCAGAAATCATTAAGTAGACTTGTACAAGTTCATCTGTTTTTCTTCTGCAGGAAGTGGTACGTAAAATTGAAAAGGTCAAAACCAATCCCCGGAGACAAGCCATCCAAGGATGTTATAATTGCAGAGAGTGGAAGCATTGAAGTAGAAAAACCATTTGCAGTGGAAAAGAAAGCAGCTGATTAGAAAACAGCTGTTGCTGTGTTGGATATCCAAGGTGTGAGGCGTTACTTCTATTTAGGAATACATTTATTGAAAAAGCCAGGAAATTCTATTCCATATTTTTGTTAGTCAATTACCAAGTTTACTTTCAGACAGACATATTTTATTCAATAATGTGTCTGTCGGTCAGTTTACTTTATGACCATTGAAATGATTGTTTGAAAGCCTCATACTTTGGATACTTGTGAGAGTGTGCATATATATTTGTGAACTTGAGAGAACAGAAGTTGTCCCTATCTTCAGGTATATTCATTGTTACAGGTTCTGTACTTGAAATTTACTTTCAGCTAACTATAAATTACTAACATATATGCAATACTAACTACAGTCTCAACAAACCGTGTAAATCCTCTGTACCTGATGTGACCAAAGAGCCATAGGTTCACAACAGATGTGTGGAAGCGTCCATTATTGTGTACATTTCATCCAGCAGGCCCTGATGTCTTCAGCATGCTGGCAGTGGTGCACCATGGAACCCAAAATAGCATTGAAAGAAATGGTTATGAATGAATATACTATCAACTTTTTGCAGTCAATGCTGTCACTACATGACTGCATTTACATAACATAAGTTTTGAAAGTTTTCAATTCCTCCTAATCTGTTAGGGAAATAAAATTTGGTAACTTGTTGAATGAGTTATTTTAGAATTTGTTCAGCTATATTATGTGTTCCATGTTTGTTGTGTCTTCCTGGACGCTATGTACAAGAGGGATTTTATTTATTTGTTTAAGGGTCAACCATTTTTACTTTGGACCATTGTTAACTGGATCTATATATGTCATGTGCTCAAATGACAGATCATTTCTAATCTCTGGAATAAAAGTTTTGTAAAGATTCTATCGTGCATGTTATGATGTGGGATTCTGTTGAAGAATTTTTTTGCTGATCACAAGGGATGAAGGTCAGACTTGGACTGTCTTCCCTGTTTCAGTATATCCTGGCAAGGTGCACATGTATTGTAAATCACAGGAGAGTCTGATCCAGACTTTAGTTGTTTACAGGCAGTCATCATGTAGCTGGAATAATGCTGAGTATAGCTGGAATAATGCTGAGTGTAGCTGGAATAATGCTGTCTGCTGAGTGTAGCTGGAATAATGCTGAGTGTAGCTGGAATAATGCTGAGTATAGCTGGAATAATGCTGAGTGTAGCTGGAATAATGCTGAGTGTAGCTGGAATAATGCTGAGTGTAGCTGGAATAATGCTGAGTGTATTGTTGAACAACAAACAAATGTTGCGAATATGTAATAACGTACATATACACCCGTGCATTAATTAAACACCACCCTATTTTGAAAATATGTGATGCTACAGAAAAGTTAGGGTATTGCCATCAATTTAATCAACCTGTAGTTACAGAAGCTTTATCCACTGACAGTTTTACAAATACCATAAACTTTTCTATTCTTTATGACAGAAAATGTTGATGAAAATGTGATGCGACTGAATTTTACCCAAAATAACTATTCCTCTCCTGCTCAAACTACACAATTAAATTAAGTTTTGACTAAAAATAACGATTCTGTTAATAATTGGACTCCAGCTTAGAAAGCAAACTCCACATAAACGATTAGAGATGAAAGCTTGCAATCAACGCCATAAGATTATTTGGATAAATATTCTACAGAATCGCGCCTGGATGATACATACAGAGCAACTTCGACAGTGGCGTTTTATGTATACCAAGATGACATTTACACATCAAGTAAGCTTTAATTATGCATAATCAGGAAGAACCCGAATGTCAAAGATTCAGACCTTTTCCAACAATTCAGATTGCTAATTGACAATAAGTGAAAAAGGCCACATTAATAAGATTTAGGAATAAATTAGAGTTTATTGTAAAGAATAAATACTTCTTGCAGGATACTGATAATTACAGGTAAAATGTTTGTTTTTTTGTAAAGCAACTTCTACTGCATTTTAAAATTTTCTTTTTTTTCTGTTTGACTAACTTTTCCTAAAGCTTTGTTTACAAACTTTCATCGATTCACAATAAATAATTAATTTATAGGCCACACAACAATCAATTATTACTTTCACTTTTCAAAATGAGGTAACTTGTTTTAGGACAGAAAAACACCTGTTTTAAATATAGGCAATTATCCTAATTAAAATACATGGTCATTTCAATGATGTTTTCATTTTTTTAAATGTTAAATGCTTGTTCTGTCAAATTATAAAGGTTATTTTGTGAAAGAGTTTAAAATTTCATTTCAGACAAAAATAATTGGTAAAAATATAGGGTGGTGCTTATTTTATGCACAGATGTATATTATTAAGAAACCTGATTATTCCCAAGAAGTCCCCATAGCTCATGCTGGTCATGAGAAACTGGCATAAGGAGTGGAGCAGCTGACTGTTCCTCACCATTTAGCAGCTGGTTTGCCTGGTCCAGACTATTAGTTACAGGCTGCTGAGGTATGGCTGGAAAGATAGCAGTGTTTCCACTCACTCAGCCTAACAGAGACACAGGAACAAGGGGGGCACAAATTGGCATTGTGATTGTCTCCCTGATGATACATGCCTGGAATACACTGATACATTGTTAGCATTTCTTCGCACCCTTCAGTAGTGTGTTTGTCATGCTCACAAGACTCATTCTTACGGGTTTCAATAGACTTGCATCTAGTCTCTAAAACGAACATATTTTAAAAAAGAAACAGTTCCTAAATTATAATCATAAAATGTAATGAAAAGGAGCCCAGAGACTATCATTTTCAGATCTGAAACTGTGGAAATCTAGACTTGCCATATATTGCACTGTGTGCTGACCTGTCACATCACTCAACACTTTACAGTTCATGTTTTGTTGGAGATATATATATGGTACAACTATATGGGGATGGTCTGTAAATAATCAAGGCTAGACAAGACAATCCATTGATCAACAACATGAGCATTGATCTACTCATGAAGTACAATGGCGTGTCAACCAAGTCAGCCCTTCTGATTCCCTTAGTCACCTCTTATGACAGGCATGGGTTGCTGAAAACCAATTCGAGCCCGGATCTTCACAGGGTGTTACACGTAGGTAGATGGGGGAGGGAGGAGAGTGTTAACATGCTGAAGACACAGTTTCAGTTCCGCTAAACCTTGTGTGAAATCCATTCTGTTGTCTGTGACATTACAAAAAACAGTAAAACCACATTTCACGTGTACATGCCTGCAGCCTGTAACAGAGGGCATGTCGTCAAGTGTCTTAATACCATATTACCTTGATTACACACCCAGGCCCCGATTTCTCGAAACAACCTTATGTCTGAGTTTTGACTTAAGTTAGAGTTTTTACTCAAATTTGAGAAAACGCATTTCCCAGAATGAACTGAAATCAATATTAAACTCAAATGTAGTAGACAATTTGAGTTTGGTGAATAGATTACTTAAGTTATTTGGCCTTTTTTATTTTTAAACTGCAGCTGAGTTAAAAATTCAGCTGTTTCAAATTGTCAAACTCAGTTTGAAATTTGAGTAAAAAGTTAAGTTTGTTTCGAGAAATCGGGGTCAGGTGTGTATCTATATGACTCATTCTTTACCTCTGGTGTATATTCACAAACATTATAGGGATAATTCTGTCCATGCATCCCCACATTTATTTGAACCGCCTTGTTAAGTTGAGGAATGATTAACATGACAGGTTTGTTTTTTGATGAACATTGGACTCAATAGTCCAGCTGTATGGCAGCGGTCTGTAAATAAACAAGTCTGGACCACACAATCCAGTGATCAACATGAGAATCTATCTATTGGGATACAATGACGTGTCAGTCTTTAATATGATAGGTTAAGTACTGATCTCAGGAGCATTAAACCAAGCTCACTTGAAATGTGGTTGAGTAAAACAAGGCAAAACAAAAACACGTCATGTATGAACAACACTTTAGTTAATAACCATTTTCAAATCTGAATTATAATACAACATACATACTTTATAATTACATATGCCATATGTACACAACAATGTAACATAATAACATAGATTTATTTCAACAAATTGACAGCACAATATTTGCTTGTTAAGAAGTAGCAGCCCTAGCTCTACATGAATCCATGCAGATTGTTACAGTCCACTGTAGCTGTCGACGGAGATGAACCGAGATGATGTATAACCCCCCCTATGGTCAATGTCTTCCGAGTCCACTGACCATACAGAGTCAATACTGCCCTCTTGTTTCCCAGAAAATATATATCTCTATAAGTACATATCTTTTATGACATGTCTCTACAATACCATAGCTGTCATGCTGTTTGAGTTTGTCAGGTTTCAAGACATTGGCCATTTGAAGACAATATTTGAAAAACCAGTACTGTTGTTATTATTCATATCAAAGAAGAAATGAAATTGTAACAATTAAGAAAAAATAGATTCTATAATATATCTTTACAAATATCAAATATATGTTAAAGTAATATTAAAATCTGAACAGCAACAGAAAAGGATCCATATTTTCATATGTTAACAGTGATAAAATCTTTAACAGTTGAAGTGTGCCATTTATTGTTGTATTTACTGATCAAAGGTTGTATGTGCCTATATATATGGGAAAATATTGGATAACAGCAAATAGGCTTAAAACGTGTGTCAAATTAATGCCTAAAGATAGCTATTTCCTATAAACAGTATTTGGTGATGAAAAACATCCATTCCTTTAATCACAATGAATAGCTTCAAAATTGCTGATGCGGCTTTAATCAATATTTACTCACTCAACTTTCCTGTATTAGCAACAGTTATTATGACAATCAAAATTCGCAAATACACTTTTGAATGGTCTATTTGTCCAGACCCAATTGATGTCTGCGTTCATAGGTAGCCAAACTTCTTGCACTTAATCCATGTCTTATGTCTCCCCTTTGGACATGACTGTCCAGGGGTGCATGTAATACTACGTGATTGTCAAGATTCCTGTAAAGGTGTCTTGTTATTGCATAGTGCCTGAGTTAGTGGCCCTCCTCCAGTACCTGTCCCATAGTCATAACTCACCCTCAGAGCATGTCAACAACACCTCACATATTTCAAACATAGCTCACCCCTTAGAGCATGTCAATAACACCTCACATATTTCAAACATAGCTCACCCTCAGAGCATGTCAACAACACCTCACATATTTCAAACATTGAAACGAAAATCTGCTTATCACACAAGAATGAATGGCTGAAAGGGTATATCAAACTTAATGTTTTTAATCAGGTCCTTTGTAGGCTATCAACTAGACCTACTTGTCTAGCCAGGCCCCTGTAGCGGTCTGGATCAAGCTATCCACTAGACCTATTTGTTTAGCCAGGCCCCTGTAGCGGTCTGGATCAAGCTATCCACTAGACCTACTTGTCTAGCCAGGCCCCTGTAGCGGTCTGGATCAAGCTATCCACTAGACCTACTTGTCTAGCCAGGCCCCTGTAGCTGTCTGGATCAAGCTATCCACTAGACCTACTTGTCTAGACAGGCCCTTATAGTGGTCTGGGTCAAGCTATCCACTAGACCTACTTGTCTAGACAGGTTATTGTAGTAGTCTGGGTCAAGCTATCCACTAGACCTACTTATCTAGACAGGTTATTGTTGTGGTCTGGGTCAAGCTATCCACTAGACCTACTTGTCTACATTCCTACCAGAAGTGTAATACCAGATGGTGTAATAGTACTCCGGAGGAGAAATAATGTCACCACATTGTGCCTGATACTCTTCACTCATTTCTTTCCTCAAGTTTTTGAAGAGACAGGATTCTGACAGTGCCAAAACTGGTGAAAAGGAGGATGTTCAATGACTTCAAAGCAACAGTCATGCATTGCAGCCATGGGCGACAACAGACTTACGCACAGGTGCATTGTCCTGGTAGGAGAAAACACCTTTAGTTGCTTCAGCATCTGGCCTGGATATGCTTGTACATTTGCTCCAGCATTTTATTGGCCACTAATGGTCTAGTATTTTTAGGTAATCCGTAGTACGACTCCTTTGTAATCCCAGAACACTGACAAAACAGAGTTTGCCCTCGTTTGGGAGGAGTGTGAGATGTTTCCACTGCTCCGACTGTTGTTAAGTCTTCAGCTGAAGCTGCTGAACCAAAACTCATCCAAGCTTACAACCTGTTGGGTTTAACAAAACCACGTACATTCTCATCAGAGATGATCAACGTTGAGTGATTCTTAAGAGGGTTTGGAGACCCTGGAACCAAGTGAGCTGAAACCTTTGTCATACGTCATTTCCAGATCATTCCTAAGAGTGTACATAGTTGTCTTATGAGAGACGCCAAACCAACTGTACTGGAATTGTGACGAGAGTCGTTGATCGTCATTTGTCCATAATCATGTAGGGTGTGTTATCAACATGTGCCTTGATGGTAGCAGAGGAAGATCTTCATAGTGTTGGATCATCTCTAAAGCAGTCTCTGACATTACATGCAATCTGTTAAGGGTTTAATATACATTCTTAGAGTTCTCCTATAAATTTTCAGTTTCTCTTCCACACTGGCATAGAAGTATAAACAATGTTTCATACACCCCCTTGGAACTTTACTAACATTACTTGGTTTTCTTGGCGATCAGAATAGACTTTCCCAGAGAACAAAGTAGGATTCCCTACAGAATGTCATTAGAAAGGAAGCTAACTTTCGTAAACTTGACACTTTGCCACTTTACATATACGGAGTAGAATAATTTCCATTTGTCTGTTGATGCTATTTACTACTATCAGTGTTTGTAGTATATTTTCATCCAGTGTGTTTAATAGGATTATAGCATGATTTCAAGTTCAGACCATCCATGCTTATTGAAACTTTTATTGTAAAACACTGGAATAAATTGTATAGTAATCCAGTTGATATGATTAATAATGCATAAAACATGTATGTTGTTTTCTCATAGTAAGTGGACAATCATATAAATGTATATATACACATCTTCAGGTGTATTAATATATGAGGTTCATACTGCTTGTGATATTTTAAATGTCAAACTACCATATTCCACACAATCAGTGTCTAAGGATGACTGATAAGTGGGTGCTTGCACCGGACACTAAACAGTCAGGTTCATGTGTTGTTTCAGCACTCACTTCAATAATGTTAAAATATGACATTGTTAAAAATTAAGATGAAATGTCCTCAATATACTACAGAAAAAAATATCAAAGACCCAAGGACCCAAACTACATAGGGAAATGTTAAACATATACAGTGGAAGCCCTCTAAACCGGCAGCCCTCCAATCTGGCATGCTCTCAATATCGGCACCAGAATTTGGTCCCGGCTGATGCTAGCATGCTCTCAATATCGGCACCAGAATATGGTCCCGGCAGAAGCTAGTAAATTTATGATCATTTACACGCCCTCTAATCCGGTTTTACGGCACACGGAAGATCATTCTCGGTTGAAAAGGGAAAAGTTCTCTAAACCGGCATGCCCTCTATACCGGCATTTTTTGCCGGTCCCAACAAATGCCGGTTTAGAATGCTTCCACTGTATGCAGATTTCCAACTCATATTATTTTGTAATTGTTTTACATCTTTCTTGTTTTACGGATTTTTGTCCTCAGAAAACCTAAAGGCAGGAGGGGAAAAAAAATAAAAATAAAATCACCAGCCAAAGTAATATTCCTTCTAAATACTCAAAGTATTTTACTTTTGGCAAATTATGAAGTGTATATGGGGCAAAAAAAAACCCCAAAAACAATCTAATAAAACTATTTCTGTAAGTTTACATTTTTGGCCTATAAAAACATTAGAATTTTATGTTTTGAGTGGGGAAAATTAATTTTTATTTTTTTTCTTATTCTTGAAAAAATATGACAGGCGGATCCGTAAAACAAGAAATAAAATTGGTCTGGCCTAATGATAACTACATAAATATTTTCTTTACATCCCATGAGATATGTTGGTCACATCCTACTTTTGATGTAGCGCATGTCCAGGACATTAACTAAAGTATCACATGTCACAACGGACCACGATGCATATATATGCAAATCAAACTTAAGAGGTCAAAGGTTGAACCCTTGATTCAGGCTTCATGGCAAATGCAGACATTAAGCAAACAGTCAGAATTAAGAAAAAACATTATTTACAAATAAACACTATCACAGACTAATATCATTAGGGGTGAAATGATCAGTTTATGTACCAGTACTGTTGTACCATGATACAGTCCCATAACACACTGGCATTATTGTGCTGAGATAGAGACAATAGCAGCAGAATGGTTCCTACAAACGGAAGAGTTAAAGAACAAGTGATGTTTCAAATACGACTACACTTAATGTGTCATAAGCCATGACCGGTAAGTGTAGTCATATGAAAACATCACCAGTGATGATAGATTAAGGAAGCACATAAAGGCATGCTTGTTTGTTCCAAGTTTTAAAGATCCTCCACGTTTTTGTCTGTACCTGATAATGTGAAACAAATGTTGATGAGGTGCCAAACATTGATTATTTGGTGTTGGAGTTCTTTGGTAGACGTAGGTGCAAAACATCCCATAGGAATGACAAGTGTTTATGGATGATCAACTTCTTTATTACGAAATACACAATGCCATTTTAGAAAGTGGTCAAATGTAACATATGTTATATTTGGGATTACACTTTCTTAGTAAAGTACAGATTCTAGTACTTTTTTTGGGTTGAGTCCCATCCGGGATTCGAACCCACACCCTGAGAGTCAGGCACCTAATCTCCAGCACACAAAGTCAGACGCCTAGACTGCTCAGCCACTGCAGATTCCATGATGGGACTCAACCCCCTAAAAGTACTAGAATCTGTACTTTACTAAGAAAGTGTAATCCCAAATATAACATATGTAACTTCATTATTGTGCAATAGTGACGTTTCGGTATAGAAATTTTTTATGCTTGATATAAGAATCTATCCCGAAATGTCGCTATTGGACAATAAAGAAGTTGATCATCCATAAAGATTTGTCATTCCTATTGCTTACAACTTCTAGAATGCCCCTCGAACAGTTCAAAACATCCCATGTTGAGAGGGTAACTAGGAGATTAATTTTCTAAAACCCTCCTTAAATAATATCTTAAGTTAATGAAAAATATCATCCTTAAATAACAACCATAAATATCATTCAAAACAAACTAATGATTATCTGTACAGTGTGTGGTCTAAATATTAATTTACCAGCTTGTAATCCATCACAAATGTAATATGAAGACATGTACATAGGTTTATCATTTCACCCCTAAACTCATGAACATCAATGTAGTAAATCAGTTCTACGTGAAATATATCAGTGATGTAAAAATGAGGACTGGGCACAATAAGTCCCAAACATCGTAACTGTAATAAACATATTCATGAGCTTCATGGCTGTTGGAGAATGAAATTGAAGGTATAAAAGGGTAGGTATGTTATTGAACACGCTGATAATCTGACAGCTCATGTAACAATATCATACTGTCACCGACATGAGCATTCAAATATTATGAACTTCAAGAATGCTTAACTAAAAACAGTGGATAAAATAACATGTAAAAAATTGATGCTTTGAAATATCTATACATACATATCACCTTTTTCATTTACAAGACAGATGATTAATAAATTTACACTCACATAGAAACAACCTATAAAAATACTCTCTAATGCTAATCATTTAAAATTTACCCTCAGAAAAACATCAATGATAGAACTGGGAAAGGTACCAACAAAAATAATTTAGGGTGCCATGTTTACACATGTACATATCATTGGATTGACTGCAGTTGGCAAGGTATCAAAAGGTTGTACCATGGATGATCTTCAAGGTAACATATGTATATGGAACAAGTGCCCAGACACAATCTTACAGGTGTCCTTAACAATGGCCAGAAAGTGGGGGCACTCATGCAGTTAGAAAACTGCTCATACATAATTGCATTGAATTCACAACATCTGCAGAAAATTGTGAAGTATGTTTGGCTGGCAATAAATGCAACTTAGTTTCATGTTGTAGTGAGTGATTGGGGTTTCGGACTGAACAGTATATCAGTTATATCATAGTCATTTACCATTTGGTAAAACCCGGAGACTGGTGCTGGCAGACAGGATCGTAATCGAGGTGAATCTGGGAATGAAAACTATGATTAGCAAACCCTTACATTGCTAAGGGAGGCAACTCTGCACAGCCAGCTGAGAACCACTCACGCCATACCTTTTGTTGTAAGAGAAAAAATATATTCGTAACCCAGGTATAAACTCATTCACTGAAAACAACACACCTCACCTCTCCATTCTCACCTGCCTGTTTCAAACAATGGCCAGAGTAATGGTCAACTGAATGATACGTACCAGAAATCCTTCTATATCCTAATCCTTCAGTTCAATTCAATAATTTAAAAAAACAAGTACCGGTAATGTTTTTGATCCAATGTAATCTTACTAAGTGCCTTACCAGCCATTACTGTTGGTATTGTCTAGACATACACAATGGTACATCACTCAGTACATATGATTCATTAATCTGGAAACCTGTGAAATGAGGGCATTATTAACCCTACAAATGAGGTGTTACTGTAAAGGAGAGTTATGTTTTGCTTATGTTATGTGAGCGATCAGAAATAATTACAGAAAGTTGGTGAATACTAATCCCTGTAGAAATACCTGACTCTGACCACCTACAGACAGACATCAGATGGGTGTTCAGTAAAGGTCTACATACTTTAGATGGCTGTAGTTGAACACTATGAATAGATAACATGTAGAAATTAGTTCTTAAATGTTTCATAAAACAAGTCCATATTACTTATGCAAAAAGATTAATATCATATTAATCTTCAAACATTGAATGCACAATTTTAACATATCCACCTGAGAAGGTTAAAATAACACATGAATCATAATATGCCCCAAAGTTCTAGCAAGTTTGTACAGATGTGACATCTTCCCGAATTATGCATCAATGAAGTTAAATATTCCCAAATTAATATTTCATAAATATGCTCAACTGACCAAAATAATGACATCACTTTATGACCTGAGACTGGCACATGTGTGGTATGCGGCACAGAGTGGAATGTCCATCTCCTCAGTGCCCATACAGTAAGGTAGAAGACTACATAGTCAGTATTAGGTCCTCTAATAAAGTCCTTTCACTTTTACAGTTCACAGAGATTTAGTGAGTACAGTTGCTAAAAGAGTATTTCTATTTTTCTTATCAGCCAGATATTATCTATGATAAATATCCCTTGATTATTCCAGACAGTTGTGTTTCTAATTTGTGAAATGATTTCCTTCCATTCTAAATTCACTAATCATGCTTGTCTTATAATGTTTGTGTCTAAAAGTGTTTGCTCTTTGGACATTTTATCAATATTCCTGTCATGTTACAGTTGAGAACTCTGAAAATGAGCTTCATCCACTGACCTGAATTGGGAAATTACACCTGGGTCTTCAGCATGTCAAATCAGTGCTTTTACTACTGGACTCCCCATAACCATATCACATTGCCAGCATTAAAGACAAAGCCTGACAAATTAGTATAGATATAGTACAGTCTGGGTAGTTCGTTAGCATACCTGTATACCCTAATCTGCTTGCATCATCAGTCAGTATTCTACCTGTGTAATCACAGGACATAAAAAGGAACAAGGATCACAATTCACTGAAATATTGCCCACTTGATTTAGTGACCATGACGAAGACTTCTCCTTATTCTGGAATGAATTTCAAAATAAATATCATCAGACAAAATACTTGGCCTTCCTCCTCATAAAAATGAATGTAATCTACTTAAATCCATAAGTCCATATCTGGAACAGAGACCGAAGCTGTGATGACAGGTAATGACATGATGTCCAATCCTGGGTGCTACCTAGAGTCTGTGTCATGTGTTCACTGTGACATCATCACACAGTCTGTCCTAACCATGACTGTTTCAGTAAATGCAGGTACCAGTAGCAGGTCCATCATGAGGCCTACACGTCTGTCTCCACAACGGACGCAATACAACCAGTTGCTCCAACATGGAGGGATAGGGAAGAATGTACATTCACAAATATATATATATATATAAACTCCTTCAAACAATTTATACAATCACATTTCACAGTAGGTATTGCGTTTAATGGAACACTTGTCAAGGAAAGATCCTGTCTTGATCCAACACAGCCCATTACTAGGTCCCTAGTATTTTCTCCAAATTTGTGCAGTTCTTGGTCTGGTAACAGTTTGGATGGAATAAAATATTTCCTTGATAAAAGTCCATCACTCTTGAAAGACTTCATTCTTCCTGTTGGCATTTTGAAAAATGGATATTAATTTCAGCATTTCTTCCTTCAAGAATTAAAACAACTGGCACTCGCACAAGAACAACTTCAATTTCCATTTTTCTCAGAAATATATCCTCCCAGGTACATGATAGCTATGGGCAAGTAGTATCTAGGCTAGAAGTTGTATCAGTCGTGAGGTGAAAATATCCTCCTGAGCCGACTAGAAAATGACTGCCATCAAATGTGGCACTCTCTTCAGGTAAGTAAGACGTGTTGCTATGGAGATGGAGGCTGGATCATGTTTTTCCCGAATCATCATCTATGGTGTCCTGTTCACTGCAGTCATCTTGGATGATGTTGTCCTGAGTTTCCCCCTCTTTCTCCATCTCCTCCTTCTCACTGTCCTCCTTGTCCTTCCAGTATTTGTAGTTGTCATGGAGATGGGACATCAGTTCTGGGATGTCACTGAATTCTGCAATACAAGACACATCCCTGACTGTAGGATCCACTCAACATTAGTCATGCCAAATGATTTTATTCAAATATCTTTTAGAAAATTATATTGTTTCAGCAGAGCTGATTTCAGTTATTAAAATTCCTTCAAGATCGGTGAATATAGGAAGTGACAATATACTTGGACCAGTCACGAAACAAACAAAAATGTACTTTCACGTCATGGTTTCATCTACCTCAAAATATTTATTAGATTTAATTAAAATATTGTAAAACAAATACTTTTCCATCTCCAATTATCCAAGGATCTATTTTTCAAATTTTTAAGAATTCCAGTTATAATGTGAGCAATAGCTTGAATCAGCCATCTCTACTGCAAGAATAAATTTCACACAGTAACCGATAATCGGTACTTACAAATATTCTGAAAAACAGTTACACCTGTTGAATTTCCTTTATGAAAAATACAACAACTGGAAACTGTAGTACCATGAGATTAGGGTTACTAGTACCCATGATTCCTTGGCCTGTTCATGCTCTCATTCAAGTCATTCAACAAGCACAGTACTTGAACTTGTATATCCTGTTGAATGTTTCTACTTTAATGACAGCACTTACGATCCCATGCTTCAAACATGGTCTGGATGAAGACATCAATGAAGCTAGTTTGAGATTTGGGTATACTGCAGGACTTGCGGTCAAACACCGGCATCACCACTGGCAGCTTCCGCTCCTTCTCCTCGTCAGTCTGGAATAGGAATGAGAATCTGACCAGTAATTAAATATGTCATGGTTGTCCAAACTGGTCAGAAAATAATAATGTTATGTAAGTTTGAGGTTTTCTTGTTTATTAGGAACATATTGTACAATGTTGGAGCATCAACTACAACTTAACCAAATCTGCAGCGAGTAAGTTGGACATGATGCCATGTTGAATGATCGTTTGGTAATATACAATAGTCAAACGGATAGAATTTAAGATTCTTGTGCTTGTATACAAAGCTTTTCACGGTATTGGCCCATCATACATCAATGAATTGATCCAGTACCATCAACCCTCCCGTTCCCTACGTTCTAGTAGTGCCCAGTTACTAGTTGTGCCACGTACAAGAACAAAGACATTTGGAGACAGATGTTTCTCAAAAGCAGGTCCTATGCTTTGGAACAACATCCCATTGGGCATTAAAAGTGCAGAGAAAATCTGTGCATTTAAGAGAATGTTGAAAACATTCTTTTTCAAATCATGTTACAGTTCCGAGTGACTCTTTCCTTGTCAGACTCATACGAAAGAGCCTTTGAGCAGGACTCATCTGGATATTGGCGCTATATAAATCTCTATATATATTATTATTATTATTATTATTATTATTATGTATATGTATCATGATGATTTCTTACCACCCTGGTTTTGAGACCTATAATCTACCCTGACATTGAAAAATAATCTAATTTAAATGGTTAAATTTGAAGACCACATCATTGCTGTGAAAGTGTGCCAGCCCAATAGCCAACTTTAAAAATAAGCTTTTCAGTCATGGTAAAATGGAAATAAATTGAGTCTGTTTTTACATCTTAAGGTCGTCCATCATTGATACATTTACTGGTGTTTAATCAACAATGAATGACCTCAAAAAGGAAAATAGAATATGTTTCTCTGCTAATTAAACCAGATATTGCGACATACTGAATGCAGGAGCACCTACCTGACTGAAGTACTCCTCAGCTATCCTCTTGGCCCACTCAACACACATATCAATGGGGCGTACTGGGTTGGAGACATCAGCACACTTTATCAACATCCGCTTAATGAGGGTGCGGTTCTCCAGGGTAGACAGCTGGGCCACGGACAGCGGCGTTTCATATGACGTGTGACTGCTCTGTAACAGCAACAGGACATACTCAATGTTTACATCGATTATTTAAGTCAAAACAGTTTTGAATATATGTCACAAATACAAACAAAAATGTTTTAATATGGCTCTTTTCCACTCAGACATGGTTTCTTTATTTGGATAGGCCTTGGTTGATATTTCAAACAAGAGAAAAATATTTAAAAACTGTAGAAGGTGATTTGACTATAATCAGCTTTGCAATAGAACAGATATGAAGTTCACAAAAGATGGAGAATGGTCATATTAAGTAATAGAATGAGTTTCTGAGACAAAAACTAAAGCTAACTGAATCATTAGCCTAGATCATCATCAGACTGGTCCTACAGCAAATTGGAACTGTTAGATTTAGATGACATACATGTACACAAGATACAAAAACCACCTAACATACCTCTGACATCTCCTCCTCCGACCGGAGTGGACTTTTGTTGATACTATTTACAAACTTTGACAAATGCTCAAAATGCTGTTTCATTTCAGTTGCCAACACCATGTCGATGATCATGTGCCGCATCTGCCGATACTCATCCCTGTAAACAGTCATACAGTCAGTGACATACAAATCAAAGGCAGCCTTTTTACATTTATGAAGGGAGGTACCATCCTCGATAATCTCCAGGGTATACGTTACGATCACTCTCCACTATACCCTGGATGCATCCACAGCTTGGCCCGATAATTATATTACCTCCCTTTGCTGGCTCCGCATTCTCACAGTAGCCAATCAGCTAAGCCACCGTTACATCCGAGCTTGCCAGTGTCAACAATATAGCGGTCGCAGTCGCGAAGGTTTGTTCGCAGTACCACTCAGATTTTTGGGGAAATAATACAGACAAAGTGACAGATCTGAAACTTTCAAAAAATATATAAAAGAACTCCTTCTACATCTTTAAGAGTACCTCTGCATCAATTGAGTTGCCAAGTTTAAATGGTTAGATAATTTAAGAAGTGAAAGTGAGTTGTGATTGGTTCGCCTAACTTCCCAGGATAGACACCAGATTGGATAAAAAGACAGCCAAGGGAGGTAATGAAATCATCGGGCCAGCAGCAGATGCATCCAGGGTATAGTGGAGAGTGATCGTAACGTATACCCTGGAGATTATCGCTGATGGGGATGTACAGCCTTTTCAAAATGTTGGGTTGTGTGCTTAAAATAATAAAAAAGTAGATGCAAGCAAATGACTCTTTTGGGGACCTATTTGCATTTGTAAGCCAAAACTTAATGAAATGATCCAAGAAATGATTCATTCATATGAATGCTTTAAAAAAGGGGGGGAATGAGCAGTCCATCATGCCTCCTCTGGACTGCTAGCAACTTAACCTGTGAACAGTATGCTAGCTATATGTCATAGGGAGGACTATCTAAAGTGATTCAGGCAGCTTCTGTTTTCCATCACTGTTAAACCTGGAAACATGGGTATTCTGTACAACTAATGACCGTAACGATGGTGAGTCTGGGATTAGAAAACAGACCAGTGGGCTACCAAAACTACACACTGAACACTGAGCCACTCGTTTCCTCCTGACCAAGACACTGTGGACATTCCCCACAGGTTACAGCGGTGCTGACAGACAAGAGATCTTAATGGGATATAGGACCAGTGAATCCTTGAATGATTAAGGGAAGTAACTCTACATAGTTTATTGTAGCAACTTAAACAACTTGGCCACCTGTTGCCACCTGTTGTTGGAATAAAGGATGGTGATTGTAGAGAGTCATGACATAAGATATACTGACCTCTCCAGGTTCTTGAAGATATTGACATTCTCGTCCCTGTGTGTGAGTTGGAATGCTAATGCTGCATGGTGGTTCTCCAGTACAGCCCTAAAACACAATGTAAGAATTATGTTTTGTCAACTTATGTGAAATATTTTTCATAAAGTCTTTCACTAACGTAGAAGATAATAAAAATACCTTTAATGAAACACTGCTATTTTATGCAGTTTTATACAATTTGGGACTGTTGTCCTTTAATGAATACCAAAAAATTAAAACAATTCTCAAATAATTTCCAAATTTGACCTTTCTGATGTGTAGAAAATACAAATATCATACATATTTTCATGAAACCGACTATTTTAATATTAAAGGTAGGGTTAATGGTGTAACGCCCATTTCTGGTGTACACTGCCTCGATATTGCCAGAATATTGTTTCCAGCGGCAGACTAACTAACTCACTCACTCACTCACTCACTCAGTTGTTTAATTGTATAACATGCATAGGATAGAGGCTATTTATGGAGACATCTTACACATCATTATAGAGAAGCGCAAGGCTGTTGCCGTCGTTGATGAGGAACGCATTGGTTCTGGCAGGGTGGTCAACGTCATGAATGACAGCAGCAATCAGAGCTGCAACTTCATCACCTTGGTCAAACACATTCTGTAAAATAACACATATAATCAGAACATCTGTTGTTTCAGGTTTACTATCTCCTCTTGCAGTTACCTCACTGTGGGGTCAGTGTACCGTATTCACCATAATCAGAGGCTACATGGCATATAGTCTCTCATATAATAAGGACTCTGTGCATTGTCAAATGAAAACCAAAACAACAAACTAATTTGTATGCAGAGATAGAAGTGAAAAATTTTCACTATGCTCCGAGTATTGTTTTCTGTAACATACATTGGACAAGGACAGTATGCTAGTATATCAGTGTAAATTCTGTCATAGTAGGCAGTGTTTGCATCATAGATTTGTTTAGAATTTGATCAATGGGACGCTAATTACGGTTAATACAGAACACCCTCTGCAGCTACCTTCATCCCCCTACACCATCACTACATCCATCAGTGCAAGAAGTCTCTGCTCTGTTGGCTCAAGAATTATTGTCATGCCAGAAACTTCAGTTAACAACCACCTCAGCTGCAGCATGGACCAAAGTGTAGCTTACAGGGAGATAACTCTCCATGGCATAACTCATATACAACTGCTGTCACTGGTACTACCTGGTCCACTGCCATTGAAGGCATTCTTTGTGAAACAGATAACACTGAAGATGAGATTTATATCCATGACTACAAGGGACATTTCATAATTGTATCATGGTCACTGAACACTGATGCAACCTGCCTTGAATGACACATTTCACTCCAGGGATTATCACACATTTCACTGCAAGGTTCAATCACACATACCCTACTGAAATGAATCAGATATACCCTGCATTGTTGAATCAAAATTACCATTGCAGGATTGAGTCACAATACTACCCCAGGATTGAGTCACAATATTACCTCAGGATGGAGTCACATTACTGCTTCAGGATTGAGTCACCATACTGCCTCAGGATTGAGTCACAATACTGCCTCAGGATTGAGTCACCATACTGCTTCAGGATTGAGTCAGGATTGAGTCACAGTACTGCTTCAGGATTGAGTCACAATACTGCTTCAGGATTGAGTCAGGATTGAGTCACAATACTGCTTCAGGATTGAGTCACAATACTGCTTCAGGATTGAGTCACCATACTGCCTCAGGATTGAGTCACATTACTGCCTCAGGATTGAGTCACATTACTGCTTCAGGATTGAGTCACAATACTGCCTCAGGATTGAGTCACCATACTGCTTCAGGATTGAGTCAGGATTGAGTCACAGTACTGCTTCAGGATTGAGTCACAATACTGCTTCAGGACTGAGTCAGGATTGAGTCACAATACTGCTTCAGGATTGAGTCACAATACTGCTTCAGGATTGAGTCACAATACTGCTTCAGGATTGAGTCACAGTACTGCCTCAGGATTGAGTCACAATACTGCTTCAGGATTGAGTCACAATACTGCTTCAGGATTGAGTCACATTACTGCTTCAGGATTGAGTCACATTACTGCTTCAGGATTGAGTCACATTACTGCTTCAGGATTGAGTCACATTACTGCTTCAGGATTGAGTCACCATACTGCTTCAGGATTGAGTCAGGATTGAGTCACAGTACTGCTTCAGGATTGAGTCACAATACTGCTTCAGGACTGAGTCAGGATTGAGTCACAATACTGCTTCAGGATTGAGTCACAATACTGCCTCAGGATTGAGTCACATTACTGCCTCAGGATTGAGTCACAGTACTGCTTCAGGATTGAGTCACCATACTGCTTCAGGATTCAGTCACATTACTGACTCAGGATTGAGTCACAATACTGCCTCAGGATTGAGTCACAATACTGCTTCAGGATTGAGTCACATTACTGCTTCAGGATTGAGTCAGGATTGAGTCACAATACTGCTTCAGGATTGAGTCAGGATTGAGTCACAGTACTGCTTCAGGATTGAGTCACAATACTGCTTCAGGACTGAGTCAGGATTGAGTCACAATACTGCTTCAGGATTGAGTCACCATACTGCTTCAGGATTGAGTCACATTACTGCCTCAGGATTGAGTCACAGTACTGCCTCAGGATTGAGTCACAATACTGATTCAGGATTGAGTCACAATACTGCTTCAGGATTGAGTCAGGATTGAGTCACAGTACTGCTTCAGGATTGAGTCACAATACTGCTTCAGGATTGAGTCAGGATTAAGTCACAATACTGCTTCAGGATTGAGTCACAATACTGCTTCAGGATTGAGTCATAATACTGCCTCAGGATTGAGTCACCATACTGCTTCAGGATTGAGTCATAATACTGCCTCAGGATTGAGTCACAATACTGCCTCAGGATTGAGTCACAATACTGCTTCAGGATTGAGTCACAATACTGCTTCAGGATTGAGTCACAGTACTGCTTCAGGATTGAGTCATAATACTGCCTCAGGATTGAGTCACAATACTGCTTCAGGATTGAGTCACAATACTGCCTCAGGATTGAGTCACAATACTGCTTCAGGATTGAGTCACAATACTGCTTCAGGATTGAGTCACAGTACTGCTTCAGGATTGAGTCATAATACTGCCTCAGGATTGAGTCACAATACTGCCTCAGGATTGAGTCATAATACTGCTTCAGGATTGAGTCACAATACTGCTTCAGGATTGAGTCACAATACTGCTTCAGGATTGAGTCACATTACTGCTTCAGGATTGAGTCACATTACTGCTTCAGGATTGAGTGACAATACTACCTCAGGAGTATATCACACATGTATTGAGATTTTGAAACAAGTAGTATGAAAACATTATGATTTCAGTGAGATAATGGTGTGATATATGTCATGGTATTTATACTTTTATCCAGAATGGCATAACAAAACTTAGATAAAACTGCTTCATTTTATGCTATTTTCTTCTGAGAGAAAAAATCATCATGACTACTTATGTCAGCAATTGGTGGGCAGTGCAGCTACAGGAACACACAAGAATCTGTATGCCTTAACCCATGCATGGTCTGAACACACCCACACAGACTAAACCACCTCTTGTTGGACAAAAGGAAGAAGAAGATCAGATGATACATCTGCTGTTACATTACATCGCCTGAGGACCATGTTCCTTAAATATAGACTGTGAATATAGGCCATGTATTAAAAATGTAAGCCATAATGTAACCGCCGCCATTAGGGAAATGATGATGATAACTAACGTAAACCTGTTTGCTGCAGTGAGGCAAAGATAGATGAAACCTATAAACCTGTCGTTAGATGCTGCAGAGTGTGATACTGGAGCACTTGAATATCTTCTGTGAGGTTCTGGGGCTTCACTCCCGCCCTCCGATGAAGCACATGTAACACATGCTATATCTCCTGGGGCAAGCGACTGTTTGAACATGTGCCTCTGTTCACCCAGAAGTGAATGGGTACATGGTAGGAGGAGTTAGTGACAGCCAGCTTTATCACCTCAAAGTGTACATGCATACTTCCCAGGGAGCTTACAGTGAAAATCGAGTGCACACACCGATCTTGTGCACAGGGTAATAAAAACTATAAGTTTTTGGTTTGGTTTGTTGCTCAACACCACACTCAGCAATATTCCACCTATATATGGCAGTGGTTTGTAAATAATCGAGCCTGGACCAGATAATCCAGTGATCAACAGCATGAGCATCGGTCTATGCAATTGTGATACGATGACATGTGTCAACCATGTCAGCAAGAGTGACCACCCGATCCTGTTAGTCGCCTCTTACGATAAGCATGGGTTGCTGAAGACCAATTCTAGCCCGGATCTTCATGGGTTAAAAAGTATAAGGTCTAAGAGCATTTGAGCTGTAATAAATAGAAATGGCTTAATACAAATTCACAGTAATAATGACAATAATGACAATGATATTAATACATGATTAAGAGGGAGATAATAATCTGACCTTGACCCTTTCTCTATCCAGGAAGAATGCAGTGGCGTGAAGGACATCGGCTGCATGTGTGGAGTTGTGATAAGGATTACAGGCGTGGTAACTGACTTCGATCAACTGTAACCAGTTCGTCAGACAGGTTTCACTGATATTCAAATACTCGCACACTCCAAACCGGGAGAATATTTGTAAACCTAAATACACTAGAGGTCTGAAAAAAAGAATAAGAATGGTATTAGTCAAAAATCAGAATTGAAAGATTTAATCGTATTGTCTGTATACTTATATGTGTTTACTGTATCATTTACATGTTCACTGTGGTATGATGACTAGACATTCTACATGGGACTTCATTAAGTGAGTGAGTGAGTGAGTGAGTATGCATCACAGCAGGGGACCCCAGAAATGAGCTTCAAACATTGTACCCATGTGGGGAATCAAACCTGGGTCTTCAGCGTGACAAGCGAAGGCTTTAACCACTAGGCTACCCATCACACTCATTAACATTAAGTGAGAACCACCATATAGCTGGAATATTGCTGAGTGCAGTGTAAAACTAAACTCATTAAGTGAGAATATGTACACATGAAGGGTATTTGAGTCATCACAATAAGCATCAGTAATGTCATCACACTTGAATCAACCTCTTCAAATACTCAAATACCCTTCAACCCCAATACTATCAAACATTTGATGGCCTATTATTTAAATGGTCTTGCACTGGCCCTCAATACAGCTGGACCTGACTTGATCCTTGTGCTGTGGCACAATGAATAAGGGTATGCTATACATTACGCCCGTCTTGGGTGGAGTGTATGCTATACATTACGCCCGTCTTGGGTGGAGTGTGTGTGTGTGTGTGAGTTGGGTTTTATGCCTCTTTTAGCAATATTCCAGCAATATCACAGCGGGGGACACCAGAAATGGGCTTCACACATTGTACCCATGTGGGGAATTGAACCCAGGCCTTCAGTGTGATGATCAAACACTTTAACCACTCGGCTACTCCACTGCCCCCTTCTTGGGATGGGATACAGGAAATGTGGCTGCATCATGAAATTAATGTTTACTTTATATCTTCTATTGTAGACTATTTGATCACTTACATTACCATCTATCTACTCAACAAAAAACCCAGCATCATTACATCAATATGAACTATTTTCAGTGTTCATCCTTCCAAATATTAAACTCAAATGCAATGACCTGTCCAATTTCAAAATAATCAGTACTTTAGAAAAATGTGAGAATACTTGTTTGTGAATGTATGGAAAAGAGTGCCAGTACGTGATATTACAGACTCAGCTCACAGCAAAAGTAAACATTGCCTGCTTCAAAAGGCACCAACTGATAATTACAAAGGAAGTTTTTACCTTTTATTGGTGCCTTTCTCCAACTCTATTATATCAAAGTCCCAAGTTTTCTCATTCTCAAGAATTGCCTGTATGTTTTCTGGGATCTGTGTCAGGGCAGTCGGACTAGACGGAATGTGAGCATGAGGATGATGAGCTGGGGACACAGAGCAGGCGGATGTCAGCACAAAACACAATGTCAGATGAACTTTAACCACATGTCATTTGGGGCTGACATTTAAGGTCTCAATTAGTCTTGAACAATATCATTTAGTGCATTGTCTGTCAGTTCAAAAGATAATTCTTACAGCCATAGATGAACATGGTAGAAATAATCTTTCTCCCTTTTATAAACATACTCCTCAAACAACCTTGTAAACCCCTGACTACAATTTTAATCCAAAATACAATATGAAAATTAAGAACTATAATAAGAAATATAATTATTTACAAAGAATTCAGCAGCATAAAACCTCATACGCTGAATGGTTTAAATAACATATCTCTGATGGTGAGAAATGTACCACAGATCAAAGATAATTCAAATCGATTGACGCTCCACCTACCTATTTTGGGTATATGTGTATCATGACCTGAGAGTCGACGTTTCATATTTTGCTGAAATAGAAGAAAAAAAAACTACAGTGAAATATACATCAATATTATGTATGTGTTAAGACATGTCCTATACTTTAAAACACATCAAAAGACCTAAAAAAAGAAAGAAATTACAGTCTATAATGTAATTATATCATGTGCAAATAATTTGTAATTGGATAACATTAATTCCAGTTTTTGTACATTTCAAAATATTTACAGTTAAATGTGAAATAATTGTCTGTTGCCATAAACCTAGCGTAAATTGCAAGACTTAGACTCACGTGACAAGGTTTTATTCACTTACTGATACTAAACCGCCGACAAGGTCAGAGGTCATTGGGTCCTCATCCTTCATACGTTGAGCAAAATATGGTGAGTACAGCTCGCTAGTGCGGAGGATATCTAGCACGCGGTCCAGGGATTGAACCACCGTTAGAGGGCAGTTCTCCTGGGCTGCGTTGATGATGTTGATCACCTGAAGTGTTTAAAATATGTAATCATAATATAATAAAACAATACCTATCACATGGCCCAAGGGACTGGTCATTCATCAAAGGGGTGGGTGACAATTGTTCATTCTCACCAAAACCCACCTGAATACTTGTAACTTTTATGTTTTTCAAGTTGTCTAATGCCTGGTATTTTCTATTTTTATTTTAATACCTAAAATATTGTTAAGCACTGACAGTTTCACATACGATAGTAATCCACTTCACTGTAATATGTGTAGACATATACACCCAATACGTCCATGCTACAGTTTGCCTCTGAGTGTAAAACAAATGTCACTGCACTGAAGCCCTTCCTAGTTCCTACAAGGAGAGCCCTTTTAGGTATCAGCAGTGCATTATGTTAATGACGACAAACATCATTCTCACTGCCCACCTTTGTAATAGGAGCCTCGATTGTCATGGAGTGTATCCGCGCTATAGACTCCCGTCGCTTTGGGAAACCATGGATTCCACCTGGAAAACAGCATTGACAATGTGTAAATGTTCACATTTCGTAAACGTTCATACTCCCTACATGATATATGTCATATCAACTGCCTTGAATAACTTGTAGACCAATCAGTAATCTTTACAAGCCTCCTCAACTAGAACCGGAACATTTACGTGACAGTCCATTTTATTCTGGTGTATACAGCAGGATAGAAGTGGTATAAAAATGTCTTATAATTTTTATTGAAAAAAATGATAGTTTCATTGACTTTGGATGAAGTTTGTTCCCATCCACTTTATCTCTGACAACAAAGTTTATTTGTGTACAGTTTTAATGTGAGGCTCTACCTTCTTAATATCTAAGCCCAAAGTCCATATTACAGTGAACATGCACGTTTCATACTTCAGTGTGTCATAGTTTGAATTAAAACAATTTTGTATCTTTAATTTTCTGTATCAAACCATGATAGTATTGACAATGGCTGGTAAACATAAACTGGTAATGGTCATGTGACTACAATACGACTCACCATTGGCTAGTTGGGTGTAGTCGGAGTCCTTGATGCGTTCCATGTGCTGGGAGAGATCTAGTGGAGATGTTCTTACTGACACAAATTGACAAATTTTCCTGAAATTATGGAAACAACATATTCAATAATAGCTTCCGCTCTGTTGGAGAAACATCAACTGTCATGTTATGACAGTGCATGCCATAGTCAGCAGTAGGAGGTTTTTAACTCTGGCATGGATCAAACAAACAAGTGCATAGTGTGATGGATTCCATGCGATATCTGAGACACAATAGTCTGACAGAGAGGGCTAAGCAATAGCACCAACTTCACAGATGGTGCACAGTGAGTGAGTGAGGATGAACGGTTTCATTGTTCAACTGATTGTTTCATGAGGTACAAGGACCACATGGGTCCAACTGATTGTTTCATGAGGTACAAGGACCACATGGGTCCAACTGATTGTTTAGCGAAGTACAAGGACCACATGGGTCCAGCTGATTGTTTCGTGAAGTAAAGGACCACATGGTTCCAGCTGATTGTTTCATGAGGTACAAGGACCACATTGGTCCAGCTGTTTGTTTCATGAGGTACAAGGGCCACATGGGTCCAAATGATTGTTTCGTGAGGTACAACGACCACATGGGTCCAAATGATTGTTTCATGAGGTACAAGGACCACATGGGTCCAAATGATTGTTTCGTGAGGTACAACAACCACATGGGTCCAGCTGATTGTTTCGTGAGGTACAAGGACCACATGGGTCCAACTGATTGTTTAGCGAAGTACAAGGACCACATGGGTCCAGCTGATTGTTTCGTGAAGTAAAGGACCACATGGGTCCAGCTGATTGTTTCGTGAGGTACAAGGACCACATGGGTCCAGCTGATGGTTTTCGTGAGGTACAACGACCACATGGGTCCAACTGATTGTTTCAGAGGGTACAAGTGTAACACTGGGAGTGAATAAGGAAATCTAGGATAGACATCTCAGTTGAGTTAGTATTCCCGCTATATCACTGTCTTATTGAGTATGTATGGAAGAAAAATCAGTGACCACAAATCCAACTTCAGATCTTGTTTTGGGGTTTTCCAAATGCCCCAGACTACAATAAGGTAGACAATGAACACGGTTTATCATGTTGGAAACCTTTCTTTTCATCCCAAAAGGAAGTACACTCAAGCAATATGGCTGTGTACACTGGTGCTGTAAAACACTTTCATCTGTCCCAAAGTTGCTATTGCCATACCTCAAGAACTGGGCTGCAATAGATCTACTACTGATAAGGAAAGGTATACTGCCCAAAGTTCTTATATCATGGACTCTTTTTTGTGTTTTCGGCCCAGATCATAAGTAGAACCAAACTTTATAGACAGCCTTGGTAGTTATAACCATAGATAGAGGTATCTTCTCAATGTTTGCTGGATGTTGAAGACAAAAAGTGTAAAGGGCAATTTAGAATCACATGGACAATCTTGACAAAAATGCAGCGAGTGAGTGATTTGGGCTTTATATTGTTTCTGATAATGTTTCAGCAAATGTCATAGCAAGAAACACCTAGATCCTGCAATGGTCAAATATAGTTGATACATTTAAGGATAAAAGCATCATAAGATAGTATGTGCTTACCCCCCTGGCCCTAATACTGGTGCCACCTTACAGTGGTGTGGTATCGTCTCCCCACTTTTCCTCCTTGTGTGGTATGTTCCTTCCCAATACTGAATAGGAAGGAAAGCAGGGAATATAGCATAGAAAGTTCCAGGTGTATATAATTTTATACCTTTGTTTTTTAAGCTTTGATGGTTAAGAGTTGAAGAAGATATTTATCAACTGTTCAACAGAGAAGTTTGATATGCAGGACAATTAATTACCTTGTACATAGTGTCCTTGAACAATAACTTTGCTGTATTCTGTAATGTTGGCAAGTTTACACACATGGACAGAAGTGGAACATTTCAGGAAGTAATCCTGACATATGAGAGTATAGGTACAGTAGCTCACCTTCCCCTTCTTCAGCTGCCCGTTGATGGTTTCTTGTAGGTCAGGTTTGTTTTTATCTGATCTAGGGAGTTCCCGTGCATCCTGGCCACAGACTTCCTGGCTGGAGTAGCCTGTCAGACGTTCATACCCCTGATTCACATACTGTGTGAGGGAAAGACATACAGTTTAATACACTCAGTCTGGGGATAAAGCAGCTGTAGGTGCCAGCAATTGACAGTTCTAGCAAGTTATATGCAGACCATTACAATGATCAGATTGTGCGCTTTGAGCAGGAAATCTTGCCTGGAAAAGGCGCGTTATAAATATTCTCATTATTATTATTATTATTATTATTATTATTATTATTGTGTGGGATGTTATAAGGATGTGTATTGTTACAGACGATACAAGGGGCAGCTGTAGCACCACCATATCTCAGAATCTCAGGAACAGATGGAAATGGACATGTTAATTGTGCTTCAGAACAAAGAACAGTATCTGACCTGAATTTCATTCTCTTCGTTAGTAATCTCCACAGCATCAGACACATTGTCAAGTGCTGTGAAGAGAGCGATACAAGCTTTCAGCTTGATCTGGGAGCGAACCTCGCCATGCTCCAGCGACAGCAACTCGTTGATACAGCTCCCTACATTTGGCTTCTCAATGTACCTCTGCAAGAAGGTATAACAGACATTACATCATAATATTTATAGCTCTGTAACAAAGATTAACTATTTATCCACTGTAGAGTACACCTACATCTGAAAGTACCATATGCCACAAACATTGCATGTATTAATGTACAACCTTTTATAACACATGTAGCCTCTTGTGAGGAAATTGGTGCTTAGTGAAGTGTTCCTGGAATGGATTCAGGGACTTGTTATCCTAAGTCTGCTGCAATGTTGAATCACTTCCCGCTCCATGCCATGTGGCTGTACAAGCATCTGTTGACATCTCTATCTCAGCACTAACACTATCTGGTGGCTGTGATGGGTGGCAGCTACTCTTGGCAGAGAGGAAGCGGCAGCTACCAGGAATTGCCAAAATGTCTACTGTTTTGGGGGAACTGGTACCGGATTCAGGCACTGAAATTGTTTCAGATTTTCCTGTTTCCAACAGTTAGCCCCAACGGACACATGACAAGGGGCATTGTCTTCTTGGAAAATCCAATTGCGGTTGACAAAATGCCTGGCAACTACAGGCCACAAATGGTTATCAAGAATGGCAATGGACTTATCAGTGTTCATGTTGCCATCAACGACAGTTAAAGTTCCCACTCCATACGCCGACATAAACAAACTCCCTAAAAAACATCACTGAAAACTTCGAATTTTGTTCATGATCGGTACGAAAACATGGGCAACAAAACATGTTTTTGCGAAACAGACTTTTGGCCACTGATTGTAGTCTTGTTAGATCCTCACACACTTATTGTAGTCTTGTTGGATTCTCAGACACTTATTGTAGTCTTGGTAGATCCTCAGACACTTATTGTAGTCTTGGTAGTTCCTCAGACACTTATTGTAGTCTTGGTAGATCCTCAGACACTTATTGTAGTCTTGGTAGATCCTCAGACACTTATTGTGGTCTTGGTAGATCCTCAGACACTTATTGTAGTCTTGGTAGTTCCTCAGACACTTATTGTGTAGTCTTGGTAGATCCTCAGACACTTATTGTAGTCTTGGTAGATCCTCAGACACTTATTGTAGTCTTGGTAGATCCTCAGACACTTATTGTAGTCTTGGTAGATCCTCAGACACTTATTGTAGTCTTGGTAGATCCTCAAACACTTATTGTAGTCTTGGTAGATCCTCAGACACTTATTGTAGTCTTGGTAGATCCTCAGACACTTATTGTAGTCTTCTTAGATCCTCAGATCTGTGGCACGTCATCTACAGTGCATCTTACTATTACCAATCCAATGAATCGTGAAAAAGTTAAATTTTGCATCAATACTAAATGGGACTGATAAATACTTACTCTGTTGAAACCTGATTTCAGTAGATGTAATATGGAGGGTTCTTCCTTGTCTGTGGTGCTGGAAGTGAGACACACATATATGTACTTCATGTAAACTTAAAAATATTCTCAGTGAAACTGTTATGTTGGTACCAATGAGGAGCACATATTCAAACCAGCAGGGTATACATGAACACCAGTGGGGTATACATGAACACCAGCAGGGTATACATGAACACCAGCAGGGTATGATGAACACCTGCAGGGTATACATGAACACCAGTGGGGTATGATGAACACCAGCAGGGTATACATGAACACCAGTGGGGTATACATGAACACCAGCAGGGTATACATGAACACCAGCAGGGTATGATGAACACCTGCAGGGTATACATGAACACCAGTGGGGTATGATGAACACCAGCAGGGTATACATGAACACCAGTGGGGTATACATGAACACCAGCAGGGTATACATGAACACCAGTGGGGTATACATGAACACCAGCAGGGTATACATGAACACCAGTGGGGTATGATGAACACCAGCAGGGTATACATGAACACCAGTGGGGTATGATGAACACCAGCAGGGTATACATGAACACCAGTGGGGTATACATGAACACCAGCAGGGTATACATGAACACCAGCAGGGTATGATGAACACCAGCAGGGTATACATGAACACCAGTGGGGTATGATGAACACCAGCAGGGTATACATGAACACCAGTGGGGTATACATGAACACCAGCAGGGTATACATGAACACCAGTGGGGTATACATGAACACCAGCAGGGTATACATGAACACCAGCAGGGTATACATGAACACCAGCAGGGTATACAACACCAGCAGGGTATACATGAACACCAGTGGGGTATGATGAACACCAGCAGGGTATACATGAACACCAGTGGGGTATGATGAACACCAGCAGGGTATACATGAACACCAGTGGGGTATACATGAACACCAGCAGGGTATACATGAACACCAGCAGGGTATACATGAACACCAACACCAGGGTATACATGACCACACCAGCAGGGTATACATGAACACCAGCAGGGTATACATGAACACCAGGGTATACATGAACACCAGCAGGGTATACATGAACACCAGCGGGGTATACATGAACACCAGCGGGGTATACATGAACACCAGCAGGGTATACATGAACACCAGCAGGGTATACATGAACACCAGCAGGGTATACATGAACACCAGCAGGGTATACATGAACACCAGCAGGGTATACATGAACACCAGTGGGGTATACATGAACACCAGCTGGATATACATGAACACCAGTGGGGTATACATGAACACCAGTGGGGTATACATGAACACCAGTGGGGTATACATGAACACCAGTGGGGTATACATGAACACCAGCAGGGTAGACAAGAACACCAGCGGGGTATACATGAACACCAGCAAGGTAAACATGAACACCTGCAGGGTATACATGAACACCAGCGGGGTATACATAAACACCAGTGGGGTATACATGAACACCAGCTGGATATACATGAACACCAGCGGGGTATACATGAACACCAGTGGGGTATACATGAACACCAGCAGGGTATACATGAACACCAGCAGGGTATACATGAACACCAGCAGGGTAAACATGAACACCTGCAGGGTATACATGAACACCAGCGGGGTATACATGAACACCAGTGGGGTATACATGAACACCTGCAGGGTATACATGAACACCAGCGGGGTATACATGAACACCAGCAGGGTATACATGAACACCAGCAGGGTATACATGAACACCAGTGATACACACATGTGGGATATCCACACTAGTGGATGTACATTAACTAAAGCATTTTTTTTTCACGGACAAAGTAATGAAAAAACATGAAACAGAACTTGACCTGAAAAAAAAGTATCTCTACAGTTCACCCTAGCTAAACGTTTATCAATATTTTAAAACATGCCAAAGCGCCCTAAATGTCTGCCACCCTAGAAAACATTATTTTTTTGGTATTTAATGATAAAAAAACTGATTACAATCACTTGTTGTCATCTACTCAGGACACCACACAAAACTGTCTTCATACAGAGAGTCTCCCTGATGCCAGGCGCATACCAAGCCAATGTTTTCGTATAAGTCCGATAGGTTGCAAAGCTTTATATTAAGATAGTATTGATGGCTTTCCCAACCTTTTTAGAAACAATCATGTGTAAGCCCAGGCTTCTTTTTATAATGGTAGCTATGCCCCTGGATGCAGGTAGTCAGTATAAACCAAATATCCAAGGCAGTAAACAAATTCTTTCTTCAATGTCCCTGTATTACATGTTACTGTGTTACAACATGGCTGCTCTTGTTTGTGTGAGGTTAAACACGGAAACCCTGACAGGTCATTACTGACACATCGGAAGTCTGGGTCTTTATTTTGTCATCAGTTTACATCCATAAGCCAGACTGTTAAAATTGGCGGGTAGAACAATTGTTGCATGGCAATACAGCAAAACCACACTGACGTAAGAGCCACACCATGACAACTGTACATCTCCCTGTTCCAGGCAATGGACCAAAATAACATGAAGCCTTTAGCCTTAGGTCTTTTGAATTACACGTAGGCTTAAATCTATTCTGTTATGTATAAGACCCAGTGGTTTCATGGATAGCCGTCTCATGAAATATTTTTTTCCCTTTGAATTGATAATTGGTTTCTAATCCTCTCTGGACAAAAAGTCAATATATCATACCATTCACTGGGTAAATATTATCTACAGTGACAGCAATGTTCTGTGAGCCAATGAAGAAAATTAAGCCATTCATGACAATTCAACTGTACATAATTTGCCATGAATTTGAATAGATTTTTATGTTTGGTCTGTTCAGATTATTGCCAGAATGCCATGCCAGATATGACTTCCTTCTTGCTCATTAAATCGAGACATAGTCTTAATGATAGAAGAAACAAAGTAAAAAGAATATACTTCTCTCATCCACTTTTTAAATGTTTAAACTTCAAAGACGACCTTTAAGTCAAGTGTATTTTATTCTTCTGAAATGTTTTCTCATACTGACAGATACATAGCTTGATTTAACTGCTCTTAATTACAGGAACAACAGAAAATGACAACTGTGAAAAAGTAGAACAGAATGTGGTATTACAGACATGACATTCAGTAATCAAAAGTCATTGAGATAATGGTATTTTGTTATGTATGTATATGTAGAATAGTTACATCATATCACCAAGGGGCGGTGGGATAGCCTAGTGGTTAAAGCGTTCCCTCGTCACGCCGAAGACCTGGGTTCGATTCCCTACGTGGGTACAATGTGTGAAGCCCATTTCTGGTGTCCACCGCCGTGATATTGCTGGAATATTGCTAAAAGTGGCGTAAAACCAGACTCATTCACTCATTTATATCACCAAGACCAAGTGTGGAAGCACCACAGCAGATGCATATTATGACGGAGTCAGATATTTATGTAAACAAATACTGCAAATTTGTCAACACCTGGACGCAGGTGTCAAATGTTTTTTAATTTGTTGCTAAAAAGACAGGAAGAGATGTTTTGCCCCCAACTCAATCAAGCTAAAATGGCATCAAAATTAAAGTATGTGTGTGTTGAAGAATGATGACAATTTTTATGGATATACAACTTCTTTTATTCTGTGAAGGGCGACGTTTCGACATAGATTCTAATGTCGTTGTACTGATTTCTGAATGTCTGAATTTAGCTGCTGACAAGGTCAATGTGATATCGTCGTGTGATTCACGTAATCAGATGTTTACTGAATAATGATGTCAGTATCACATGAACACGGATGTTCATGTGATCTACACAAGAACAACTGGAATCATTATATGAGTGCTTCAACTATTGTAGTCTGTGATTACACAATGTGGAATTTGTGGAAGTAGCGGTGGCTAGCGGTCTAGGCGGCTGACTTTGTGTGCTCGTGATTAGGTGCCCGACTCTGAGGGTGTTTGTTCGAATCCCCGGATGGTACTCAACCCCCAAAGTACTAGAATCTGTACTTTATTAAGAAAGTGTAATCCCAAATATAACATATGTTATATTGTAGTTGCTGAGTTTTACTGAGTTTGGTTTGATACTGGTTTGTTCTGGTGTATGTGAAGGATGTTTACAATGTATGGTATGTTGCTGGTAGACCTAGAAACATAACTGGGGTTGGAACTAATTCTGCATAGCAAATCACAGCACCTCTGCCGACTGATCAAAATAGATAATATACTTGTATACTTACTGTCCTTTTGTCACTGCGACTAAGACTGTGTGCTCGCTGGCTTTGGTTGCTCTGATAGACCTACAAGTGGAAACAAAAACAGTCAGGTAACGCAGAACCAGTTGGCTGTCTAGTTTCCAGGAGCTCCTTTCACGAAGCAACCTTTACTAAGGTTAACCTTAACTCCCATTCTTTAACATTGCACTAAGGTTACCTTAGTGACTTACGATCACGTTAGTGCTTTGTGAAAGGAGGCCCTGCTTGATAACAGAGTAAGAATATTTATTGAAATGTCGCTCTACACTCTAAGTTTTTAATCACAAATTCATATACTTTGTTATTTACTCATCAGCTCCTAGAATGCTGATCACACAATTACTAACTGGCCAGCGAAGATGACATTACTTGGAGCAAAGATGCAATATTGCTAAGAAACTTTATTTTGGCTGGTATGAGTTGGAAAGTATTCACTCCATATGTTACAACTGGATATTCCTTTATTCCTTTAGACACAACGGTTATTATCAAGTGGATTCATATTACATATAAATTTATCCTTGACATAACCAACCTAGGAACTGTATTTGCAAAAAAAAACAATAGTAAATATTGTGCTAGAATTCAACTTTTATATTTATGTCAGCAATATTCATCACAGCTAGGCTGCAGAATCCTGTGAAAGTTGTTGTGGTGTGCCAAATTTTCTAAGCTGTTTAATTTTACAAGATCAGTACTATAATTTCTGTGAGCAAATAGTTAAGCTAATAATCTGGTTGCCATGACAATCATACCAGGAGCAAATGTTATCAGTATAGATCCAAGGACCAGAGGAGATTCCAGACCTGTAGAGATTATGGTAAGCAAAGGTGCCCAGTGATGAAATACCCAACATAAATGAAGATTGCTGACCACAGGGTGTAACCTTACTTTATACCCCACTTCCCATGTTGTTGCTATGGTTTCAAAAGTGTTGCTGTATTAGCAAAATGTTGGTGCATCATCCATACACCAAGATGTTGTTCACTTAAAACGACACATAAGACTAAGTACAGCCCCGGCCATGTGTAAACCATGAAATATAACACATGTAACATGGACAGGTTTACAAACTGGAGTACTGCAAACAAAGCCTTGAGTCTGACAAAGTCAAGGTCAAGGTAATTGACTGTAACAACACAAGCATGTTTTATACTGACAAATAAGTGTGTCATCATATCTGATAACAAGGACCTGTGTTCATGCTACCAACCCCTGGTGGGTCAGGCTGCTGTTATTTTGCTGAATAGAATAACATTCAACTCATTTCTTCCCTCTTTCCTTTGTTGAGAAGAGACACTCTGGTATCAATATCAACTGCAGGTTTTCACCCAACTAACTCACTCGTTCACTTAGTTTCCAAACCTTACCATCCACTTTTGTTTGACATAGGTCATATGGCCTGAAATATTGAATAAACTTCTGTCTGTCTTTGTTTAACATACACATTCTATTTTCTATGGTGCTAGGAATCGGTGTGGTAATGCTCATGGTAATATTATATACAATAACCTCCTAGAAGCAAGGATCTAAGACGTTGAGAAGAACTGTTATATGTGAATGGTGCTAACAGACAAAGGATTATCACTGATGTGAATAAAGTCGATAGCAATAAGTATGTTGCACAGAGGTGCTTCATATAAAGGAATGAATAGGTTTACAGTCAATTTTAGATATCAGCTACCTCTGTGACAATAACTGCCGTGTAGAGAACAGCCTTTCCATCGTTCACATATGAGAAATTATAATAATATCCTTCTCCAAATTATATACACATATAATCTCAAAGATATCCCCCGTTATTAACCTTTCTTGACAAGTGTAATACTCACACAGTTTTGATCAATTTAGGCGAGTACTACTCATGTAAATACAAGAAGCATTATCTGGAATTCCATTAGCTCTACCTCCCATCAAGGTGATATTCAGATGGTGTCTTTAACACTCGCCAGCTTCACTCAACACACAAGGTCTGAACAATGGAACTATGGATATGATTGAATCTTCCCTTTCACGAAGGTAACAATATAAATGTTCACATTTTCTTCAGTGAAATATGTAGCTTGAAGCTGCAATTCTCCCTTGTCACACTGATGTGACGACCTCCTCACAGGATCCTCAGCAAACAAAGATGGTGGATTAGTAAGACACAGAACTGCTGCTTGGAGAATAGATTAATGTGTCATGGTTAGAACACCTGTTCCATAATGAAAGTTTCCCTGTTCATGCCTCAAATAGCACATAATCATCATTCTTAAGGATAGATATTTGACACTATTTCCCATAATGATATTGCTTCTCATTTGTATCAATGGCATCCCACAATGTAAATTCCTCTAGCCATTCGCTTTCAGTAGGAAACTTTAGTGAGGTTAACTTTAAGGCATATTTCTCTTGACAGAGAAATTCATATATTCTATTGTAACATCTTCATCCCTATCATTTGTCATGGGTTAATTAATCCGGTGTCGAGTCATCTGCGCCACATTCACATTTAATAATAGAACTGCTGTTTCTGTTAAGATTGTGATGAGTAGATGTTGCCACTGAGCAAACATGTCAGATATATCTCTCTACAATACCAATACTGATGCTGTGTGTAACATAGTGTCAGATATATCTCTATACGATACCAATATAGAGATATTGGTAGATCTCCTTTTGTATCTCAGTGTCACAAGACAACGGGAGATGACCCACCCTAAACATGAACTCGTGGCAGAATTTCAGATCCTCCAATCAGAAACTACTGTAGAATCAGTTGTACAACAACTCCAATTGCACACTCACAGGTGTTCAGCATTAACTCAAATAATAAAGTAGCACCAGGTGTTAAACATCAACTATGAAGGTACTGACATGATTCCGGTACTTAGCACTAACTGTAGCAGTGGCACAGGGTTTCAACTACATCAGGTGTAAAGTCACAGTGATGACACAGGTATTCAACAGTAACTCTATCATGAAAGTGCACCAGGTGTTCAACTACATCAGGTGTAAAGTCACAGTGATGACACAGGTATTCCACAGTAATTCTATCATGAAAGTGCACCAGGTGTTCAACTACATCAGGTGTAAAGTCACAGTGATGACACAGGTATTCAACAGTAATTCTATCTATCAGGTGTTCAACTACATCAGGTGTAAAGTCACAGTGATGACACAGGTATTCCACAGTAATTCTATCATGAAAGTGCACCAGGTGTTCAACTACATCAGGTGTAAAGTCACAGTGATGACACAGGTATTGACTCTACATGGTATTCTACATCAGGTGTAACTCTATCATGAAAGTGCACCAGGTGTTCAACTACATCAGGTGTAAAGTCACAGTGATGACACAGGTATTCCACAGTAACTCTATCATGAAAGTGCACCAGGTGTTCAACTACATCAGGTGTAAAGTCACATTGATGACACAGGTATTCAACAGTAACTCTATCATGAAAGTGCACCAGGTGTTCATCTACATCAGGTGTAAAGTCACATTGATGACACAGGTATTCAACAGTAACTCTATCATGAAAGTGCACCAGGTGTTCAACTACATCAGCTGTAAAGTCGCAGGTGTTCAGCATTAACTCTAACATTACAGGGGCACCTTCAAATTTCAACATTATCAAGTGTGCAATTACAGTGATGATACTTGAGGGGTTGAACAATTATCTTATATGGCAGCCAGGCACCAGGTGTTCAACAGCATTATGAAAAAGTGACTGTAATGATATAGGTATTCAGCATTTACTTAACATCATGCTGACAGGCGGTGTTACACACCACCCATGGTAAAGTTACTGAGAGGACTAAGATGTTCAGCATTAGATATACCAGTTGCACATAACAGCCATGACATAAAATGAATAGATCTACTTGATATTATTGAATTAACTCAATCACTGATCACGGCTGGATCCAAAATAAGACCGATATTAAAAATCAATATTAAAACTTCAAATTACTATTCATAAAATTGTTAGGCAATATTCAACTTAGATCCAAGCTTATTGAGGATAATACTCAATTGTTGACTAATGAATGTACGGACAGATCTGAATATTGTGTAATTATTGTTGAGGATCTGAGGCAAACATATATATGTTACTGTTATCGAATCAATTGCCATTAAGTCCTCCCACATAGGAGCTCTATAAATAGGCTCAGTATTATTGCCGACATTATGAGTATTCAAAACCTGCATGATAATCCCAGTTTGGGAGAGGAATCCTGAAGATCGGTCAGCCAGCCGATCGGAATACCAATCAGGAGCAGTATTGATTCCTGCGATACGATAGCTATCACGAAGTAGCGGAAAACTTTATATCATATCGATTTATTGCCATTCCTTTACAAAAACGTTAGATGCTTTAATATTGCCTGCTTGTCACAAACATGAAATCTTTTCTAATATATTGGGGAGAGCATCTCCATATAGATGACGAGCTAATTGTGTCACAGTGATCATGCAACATGTGGTTAACCATACACTGACTGGTGAAAACAGGGGGCTTACAGGTCATTAGTGAATGGTAATAGTGGGATCCAGGGTATCCATATCTACACAGAGTTCATGCATTAACCAAACAGGGAATATACGTTTCCGCTTCTAGAATATGAAATAACTAACATATATCTTCAGATATCACAAAGCATAATTTGTCAAATGTTTTCTCCCCAGTATGATATTGCCTGCAAAATAACATTTATTTTAATATATCACATCCAGAAAATAACATGCATGTTCTTTCCAACATCACAGTGCCCAGTAAAAGTAACATGTATTCCAACATCACATATTCCACTAAATAACATGTATGTTCCAACATCATAGCCCATAAGTTACATGTATTCCAACATCACACATTCCACTAAGTAACATGTATTCCAATATCACACATTAAAGTAATCCGAGTCAGTATAACATGTATTCCAACATCACACATTCCACTGAGTTATAACATGTCTTGCAACATCACACATTCCACTAATTATCATGTATGTTCCAACATCATAGCCCTGTATGTAACATGTATGTTCCAACATCATAGCCCTGTATGTAACATGTATGTTCCAACATCATAGCCCTGTAAGTAACATGTATGTTCCAACATCATAGCCCTGTAAGTAACATGTATGTTCCAACATCATAGCCCTGTAAGTAACATGTATGTTCCAACATCATAGCCCTGTAAGTAACATGTATGTTCCAACATCATAGCCCTGTAAGTAACATGTATGTTCCAACATCATAGCCCTGTAAGTAACATGTATGTTCCAACATCATAGCCCTGTAAGTAACATGTATGTTCCAACATCACACATAGCATGTAAGTAACATGTAATCAACATCATTCCATTAAGTAACATGTATGTTCCAACATCACAGCCCACTAAGTAACATGTATGTTCCAACATCACATAGCCCACTAAGTAACATGTATGTTCCAACATCACACATTCCACTAAGTAACATGTATGTTCCAACATCATAGCCCAGTAAGTAACATGTATGTTCCAACATCACACATTCCACTAAGTAACATGTATGTTCCAACATCATAGCCCACTAAGTAACATGTATGTTCCAACATCATAGCCCAGTAAGTAACATGTATGTTCCAACATCATAGCCCAGTAAGTAACATGTATGTTCCAACATCATAGCCCTGTAAGTAACATGTATGTTCCAACATCATAGCCCTGTAAGTAACATGTATGTTCCAACATCATAGCCCTGTAAGTAACATGTATGTTCCAACATCATAGCCCAGTAAGTAACATGTATGTTCCAACATCATAGCCCTGTAAGTAACATGTATTCCAACATCATGGCACATTGGTAACATGTGTTCCTAAGTAACATGTATGTTTCCAACAACACACATTCCACTAAGTAACATGTATGTTCCAACATCATAGCCCTGTAAGTAACATGTATGTTCCAACATCATAGCCCTGTAAGTAACATGTATGTTCCAACATCATAGCCCTGTAAGTAACATGTATGTTCCAACATCATAGCCCTGTAAGTAACATGTATGTTCCAACATCACACATTCCACTAAGTAACATGTATGTTCCAACATCATAGCCCTGTAAGTAACATGTATGTTCCAACATCACACATTCCACTAAGTAACATGTATGTTCCAACATCACACATTCCACTAAGTAACATGTATGTTCCAACATCATAGCCCACTAAGTAACATGTATGTTTCCAACATCACACATTCCCAACATCACACACACATTCCACTAAGTAACATGTATGTTCCAACATCATATTCCACTAAGTAACATGTATCATGTATGTTCCAACATCACACAGCCCTGTAAGTAACATGTATGTTCCAACATCACACATTCCACTAAGTAACATGTATGTTCCAACACCATAGCCCAGTAAGTAACATGTATGTTCCAACATCACACATTCCACTAAGTAACATGTATGTTCCAACATCACACATTCCACTAAGTAACATGTATGTTCCAACATCACACATTCCACTAAGTAACATGTATGTTCCAACATCACACATTCCACTAAGTAACATGTATGTTCCAACATCATAGCCCAGTAAGTAACATGTATGTTCCAACATCACACATTCCACTAAGTATCATGTATGTTCCAACATCACACATTCCACTAAGTAACATGTATGTTCCAACATCACACATTCCACTAAGTAACATGTATTCCAACATCCAAATCATGTATGTTCCTCACATTCCACTAAGTAACATGTATGTTCCAACATCACACATTCCACTAAGTAACATGTATGTTCCAACATCACACATTCCACTAAGTAACATGTATGTTCCAACATCACACATTCCACTAAGTAACATGTATGTTCCAACATCATAGCCCACTAAGTAACATGTATGTTCCAACATCACACATTCCACTAAGTAACATGTATGTTCCAACATCACACATTCCACTAAGTAACATGTATGTTCCAACATCACACATTCCACTAAGTAACATGTATGTTCCAACATCACACAGCCCTAAGTAAGTAACATGTATGTTCCAACATCACACAGCCCACTAAGTAACATGTATGTTCCAACATCACACATTCCACTAAGTAACATGTATGTTCCAACATCACACATTCCACTAAGTAACATGTATGTTCCAACATCACACATTCCACTAAGTAACATGTATGTTCCAACATCATAGCCCTGTAAGAAACATGTATGTTCCAACATCATAGCCCACTAAGTAACATGTATGTTCCAACATCACACATTCCACTAAGTATCATGTATGTTCCAACATCACACATTCCACTAAGTAACATGTATGTTCCAACATCACATTCCACTAAGTAACATGTATGTTCCAACATCATAGCCCTGTAAGTAACATGTATGTTCCAACATCATAGCCCAGTAAGTAACATGTATGTTCCAACATCACACATTCCACTAAGTAACATGTATGTTCCAACATCACACATTCCACTAAGTAACATGTATGTTCCAACATCACACATTCCACTAAGTAACATGTATGTTCCAACATCACACATTCCACTAAGTAACATGTATGTTCCAACATCACACATTCCACTAAGTAACATGTATGTTCCAACATCACACATTCCACTAAGTAACATGTATGTTCCAACATCACACATTCCACTAAGTAACATGTATGTTCCAACATCACACATTCCACTAAGTAACATGTATGTTCCAACATCACACATTCCACTAAGTAACATGTATGTTCCAACATCATAGCCCACTAAGTAACATGTATGTTCCAACATCACACATTCCACTAAGTAACATGTATGTTCCAACATCACACATTCCACTAAGTAACATGTATGTTCCAACATCACACATTCCACTAAGTAACATGTATGTTCCAACATCACACATTCCACTAAGTAACATCATGTTCCAACATCACACATTCCACTAAGTAACATGTATGTTCCAACATCACACATTCCACTAAGTATCATGTATGTTCCAACATCACACATTCCACTAAGTAACATGTATGTTCCAACATCACACATTCCACTAAGTAACATGTATGTTCCAACATCACACATTCCACTAAGTAACATGTATGTTCCAACATCACACATTCCACTAAGTAACATGTATGTTCCAACATCACACATTCCACTAAGTAACATGTATGTTCCAACATCACACATTCCACTAAGTAACATGTATGTTCCAACATCACACATTCCACTAAGTAACATGTATGTTCCAAAATCATAGCCCTGTAAGAAACATGTATCTTCCAACATCACATTCCACTAAGTAATATGTATGTTCCAACATCACACATGTTCCAACATCACACATTCCAGTAAGTAACATGTATCACACATGTTCCAACATCACACATTCCACTAAGTAACATGTATGTTCCAATATCACACATTCCACTAAGTAACATGTATGTTCCAACATCACACATTCCACTAAGTAACATGCATGTTCAATTCACATCACAACATGCATAGCCAGTAAGTAACATGTATTCATTCCAACATCACACATTCCAGTAAGTAACATGTTCTTTCCAACATCACATAGCCCAGTAAGTAACATGTATTTTCCAATATCACATAGCACAGTAAGTAACATGTATTTTCCAATATCATAGCACTGTAAGTAAAACATGAAATGCATTTTCCAATATCACATAGCCCAGTAAGTAACATGTATTTTCCAACATCATATCACAGTAAGTCCATTCCAATATCACATAGCACAGTAAGTAACACCTATTTTCCAATATCACACATCACAGGTGGCCAATTTTCCAATATCACATAGCACAGTAACAACACCCATATTTCCAATATCACATAGCACAGTAAGTAACACCCATTTTCCAATATCACACAGCACAGTAAGTAACATGTATTTTGCAATATCACATAGCACAGTAAGTAACACCCATTTTCCAATATCAGATAGTGTAGTAAGTAACACCTATTTTGCTATATCACATTGGCCAGAAAGTAGCATATACTTTCCAATATGCCATTATGCAGGAAATAACATAGAAAACAACACATATCTGTTTACCAGTAACTTTGCAAATAGATGTACATTAAAAAACATGTCTTGTTTCTCTCAGACAGATATATTTAATTGATATATTTTCAAAACATTGATAAATAGCAGTCTCCCAGTAAAATGAACACAAATGTATTTATTACTTCCACAGGGTCAATACTCCTAATTACAAGGCAAGTGTTATCCGTATCATGGGTTCCTTGTAAAGGCCTGGGATGGTAATGAGAATATAGTAGACAGCTTACCGGCAGAGTGCCTCGGCATCAAAGTGTTTAGTAGATCTGTGATCAATGACAACAACGTCGTGGTGCTTATCAAGGTAACATTCCAGTGCTCCTTCAGGATTCCGAGAAATGTTACACTTATATCCAATCCTGTCAGCCGCACACCAGAAACCATCACTTTGTGCATCTTCTTTCGCAAATACCAGTAAAATCTGAAATACCAAAATCACAGATCATAACAGGGTTACTTACGGAGCACAAGAGTGGAGTTTTAAAGTTACTATGTACTGTATATAAACATGCATATGAGTGAGTTTAATTGGTTTGTTGTTGTTTTCTTAATGATTGAAGTTACATGTATTTAGAGAAATTAATTTCATGGTTATTTCTGTGGCTCAAGAGGTACTTTGTTGACTTGGTGTTGGTGTAGCATGCCAAACACTTGGCGTCCATTCCCTGATTTTATTTTCACAACTTCGCATTCTCCCACAAAACATTAACATGGTTACCAGGGCAGAGTACATACAGAGAGAATACATAAAGATGTGTAGCAGGAAACAGTTTTACAATTATATCAAATGTGCCCCTAGCGAATTGATGCTGATGATGTAAACCCTGCTCAGTTTGCTTGATAGTGTGACCTGACACAGGAGAAGCCATGTTGATAACTCTCCACAAACACACATGATAACTCCCTCCATAAACACACATGATGACACTCCATAAACACAAAAAACTCTTTCCATAAACACACATGATAACTCTCATCAAACACACACAATAACTCTCCATAAACACACAAGATAAATCTCTCCATAAACACACATAACTCTTTCCATAAACACACAACATAACTATCCATACACACATGATAACTCTCAACAAACACATGATAACTCTCAACAAACACACGATATATCTTCATACACACATGATAACTCAACAAATGATAACCCTCCATATTCACATGATAACTCCATGCACGCACGCACGCACGCACGCACGACGCGCGCGACGCACGCCGCATGCCGCGCGCGCGCACGCACGCACGCATGCACACACACATAATAATGCTCCATCAGCACACTTGACAGATTCCAATGGCATAAACCCCAAAATAATACCTTTGTGTCATTGACAGACCAGGCCTGCCATTTCTTAAATATTTCTTTTACCTGTGAAAAACCATTCTTCATTTAGGGCTGCAGCTTTACAATAATTTCAAGGGAGAGCAATATCCTTGTGTCAGTATGGGACAGACTTATACTGAGACTCTCTATTATCGCAGCACGCAAAAACATCGGGAAAGCAGAAACACCATGCCCCGCATCGGCTGTTTGCATATGCAAATTACGTAAAATATATTCATTGCTCTTGAAAAAGTCATTTATTTCATTGGGATGTCATGTCTAATTGTAGAAATAGTAAAGCATTCATCTTTTTAAGTAAGTTCTGGAATATTTTGAAACTTTTATGACCCCTACTGCCATTACATCTAGCATGAATCAAAACTTACTTCGTCAAAAGTAATCCTGCGACAACTATATAAGGTCATTTGCATATTTTCCGTGCTAAAAATATAACAGGAAGTGACGTATTATGCAACTTTACTCTACACATGCCAGCAACTTGTATGGTACGTTTTAAGGCCGAAAAACAATATTTTCAAACGTTAATGTTACCTTGTATCCAAATGAATAGAAGTTTCAGATGTTTGGGTTAAAAACATGATGCTATTACTAATGTGAATAAAATTCCTAAATATTTTTTAATGATCAAACTATTTAGATTCGTTACTTGTCTTAGTAAACGTTTCACAGTGACATCTGCTTGTACCGCGTGCCATAGTAAGAAAATGGCAATACCGCGATAATACAGAGTTGCTTCAATTTCCGGGTCATACGAGACAATTGGAATTGCCGCAATGGTATTAAACGAGTTGCGACTATGTGTCACATTATTTGTGACAGAAATGAAGATTAAACATCAGTCAACTGAAAATATATATAAAATGCTAAATGGCAGTAGCCGTTCATAATCCCGATGGCGACAACATTAACTACCGCGATAATAGAGGGTCCCATGATAATAAGTCCTCACCTGTCAGTACCACTTGTGTGTTAAGGTCAAGGCTGGTGTAGAGTTGCGTCTGGAGCAAATTCAAATCCCAAACTTAAGACCAGGAACTAATTCTCACTCAAGTATTTAAGGATCTTACCACTTTTCTAAGTGCCAGGTCACAGAGATTAATTGGCAGGTATCCTTGGGCTATTGGTGAGAGAATGGAGTTAGAGAAAGTTTGTGATGTCCAATGTGTATCCTTCATGGTCAGTCTACCACTGGGCCTCACTGTCTTTACTTATAAAAACAGTTCTATATTTTTGAATTTATCTATGCAGAAATCGATGCAACATCAAAGAATGATCCCAAATAAAGCTGTAAATTAATTAAACTTCCTTTACAGTGGCTTCTATGAGTGGCATTCCATTACAGTCACCATGAAGAAATATATACAGTCACCATGAAGAAATATATACAGTCACCATGAAGAAATATTTACAGTCACCATGAAGAAATATATACAGTCACCATGAAGAAATATATACAGTCACCATGAAGAAATATATACAGTCACCATGAAGAAATATATACAGTCACAGTCACCATGAAGAAATATATACAGTCACCATGAAGAAATATATACAGTCACCATGAAGTAATATATACAGTCACCATGAAGAAATATATACAGTCACCATGAAGAAATATATACAGTCACCATGAAGAAATATATACAGTCACCATGAGAAATAATATACAGTCACCATGAAGAAATAGTCACCATGAAGAAATATATACAGTCACCATGAAGAAATATATACAGTCACCATGAAGAAATATATACAGTCACCATGAAGAAATATATACAGTCACCATGAAGAAATATATACAGTCACCATGAAGAAATATATACAGTCACCATGAAGAAATATATACAGTCACCATGAAGAAATATTTACAGTCACCATGAAGAAATATTTACAGTCACCATGAAGAAATATTTACAGTCACCATGAAGAAATATTTACAGTCACCATGAAGAAATATATACAGTCACCATGAAGAAATATATACAGTCACCATGAAGAAATATATACAGTCACCATGAAGAAATATATACAGTCACCATGAAGAAATATATACAGTCACCATGAAGAAATATATACAGTCACCATGAAGAAATATATACAGTCACCATGAATATATACAAATGAAGTAATATGTACAGTCACCATGAAGAAATATATACAGTCACCATGAAGAAATATATACAGTCACCATGAAGAAATATATACAGTCACCATGAAGAAATATATACAGTCACCATGAAGAAATATATACAGTCACCATGAAGAAATATATACAGTCACCATGAAGAAATATATACAGTCACCATGAAGAAATATATACAGTCACTATGAAGAAATATATAGTCACCATGAAGAAATATATACAGTCACCATTTCAATGCTAGAATCTAGGAAAGTAATGGACATCTATATCCAATAACAATCTTCACTGATATAAACTTAATGAAAGTAAGTTATCCTTCAGGAAGTCTTACACATGACTAGACAAACTTAATGAGGAATCACCCATTCATATTTCAAGTCATACTAATCAATATTTGCTGCAGTTTAATCTTAATTGTTTACTATTCTGGAACCATGTCGTTAGTGCATACCAAGTGATAACAATAGAATGGCTATGCTAGAAAGTGTGAGATCATGTCAGAATTGCAAGGCTGTCAGAATCAATACAAACTGCTTTATATTTCTTATTGATGCCAGGCAGAAAATGTTACGCATCAGCTGATTTATTTGTTCAATGTAATGAATGTCACTTTAAACTCTGATTTTGACCAAACTGCTAATGGTTGAATGGGCTTATTTCTGGATTAAATCATCCGGGGAGAAACAGTTAAATCAGAGATCAAAATGGAGTCAAGGATTAATTTCATATTAACCTGTCAAGCCTGCATTTGATGTCAAATATTGCAGAAGGGAACTAAACGGTTCTAAACAGCATGGCGTTTTCTTGCACATTTTGTCACACAGAAAATTATATCTGCTCTTTTAGTTTTAATCATTAACACTGGAAGAGGTAGGAACCTGACATTTGATTTGCAATTTTGGGATAGGGCTTATAAAAGGACAGACATTCTAATGATAATGGCCCTTTTGTGGCGCCAAATATGAGGGGATATGAAGTCTGTGAGGAGATACTGAAAACCGCATGTGATTTTCGTGATGGTCACTCCAGGAGAAAATGTCCGTACATGGCTTGCTGTTTATACTAAGGGTAAATTGTGGTTTGTGTTTTGTGTGCTGAACCTCTAAAGTGACATGGTACTCTGTACAGTAATCTGTGAAAATAGCATCAGAAACTTACTAATCAATGAAAACGAGAGTATTGATACCAGTTATAATCACAGACATCATCTTTTCATCTGAGTAAAGTATCATTTTTGCAATTACATATCAACAGACAAAACAAATTTGTGAGGCAAGACACCTAAATATTCACTAGAATATACAACATACATTTATGTGATAACATCACTCTCCATTCATTGGGAGAATCACTGGGAAGTTAAGGGAAGATGTCATTTGTATTCATGATTTAACTCATTCCATGTGCTGGACATTTTGCAGATAGCATTGTTGTAATGCAGACAATATTGATGATATTACAGATACTATTTTCTTACATAACATGCAGCAGACCCAACTATTGACATGATACAGACACAATTCTTGATGCAACACAGACACCAATATCAGTGTGATACATTTACTGTTGTTGACATTAACAGACACCTATATCAATGTGATACATTTACTGTTGTTGTCAAACAGACACCAATATCAGTGTGATACATTTACTGTTGTTGTCAAACAGACACCTATATCAATGTGATACATTTACTGTTGTTGTCAAACAGACACCAATATCAGTGTGATACATTTACTGTTGTTGTCAAACAGACACCTATATCAATGTGATACATTTACTGTTGTTGTCAAACAGACACCAATATCAGTGTGATACATTTACTGTTGTTGTCAAACAGACACCTATATCAATGTGATACATTTACTGTTGTTGTCAAACAGACACCAATATCAGTGTGATACATTTACTGTTGTTG